GGTCGGAGCTAAGTTCTGCAAGACCCGCCGCAGAAGAACACAAAAACTCTCCGATCACACTCTTAATCTCATGGCTGTTAGACGGGAGATGAAGCTACATTCTTCAACAGACTTGACAGCATACAGGCATCTGAACAGACAGATCTCCAAATGCATGCGGCGGGACTTGCGCAACTTCAATACAGCTCGTATTGAAGAAGCGATCGAGCGGAACCAAGGCTCCAAAGTCTTTGCCAGAGATCTGTCTGCCAGAAAGAGCCAACTGTCAAAGCTGAAGACAGAGTGTGGCAGCATCGTTTCCGGGACACCTGAGATTTTGAGTGAGATTGAGAGGTTATATGGGCATTTGTACAGGTCATCGTTGGAGCCACACGCAAGTGTGAGTAACGATCCAAGAGCGAGTCTCATCCGACACTATTCCGAAGATATCCCGGACGTCAGTCTGAGCGAGATTAGAATGGCTCTCCAGCACCTTAAAAACGGTAAGACCCCAGGCGAGGATGGAATTACAGCGGAGCTTCTGAAAGCGGGTGGAAAACCGGTACTTGAAGTCCTTCAGAAGCTCTTTAATTCGGTCCTCCATGGTGCCATTACACCGGAGGCGTGGAGCAGAAGTGCGGTGGTCTTGTTCTTCAAGAAAGGTGACAACGCTCTCTTGAAGAACTACAGACCGATTTCCCTTCTGAGCCGCGTCTACGTGCTGTTTTCGAGAGTCATTACGAATCGTCTCGCGCGCAAACTTGACGACTTCCAGCCTCCCGAACAAGCCGGTTTCCGAAAGGGCTTTAGCACCATAGACCACATACATACCCTTCGGCAAATTGTACAGAAGTCCGAAGAGTACAATTTGCCACTATGTCTGGCGTATGTGGACTATGAGAAAGCCTTTGATTCCGTCGAAATTTGGGCGGTGCTGCAGTCCCTTCAGCGGTGCCAAGTTGGCTGTCGGTATATCGAAGTGTTGAAGTGCTTGTACAGTAGGGCTACGATGGCTATCCGAGTACAGAATTAGAGTACGAAACCTATCCAATTGCAGAGAGGTGTAAGACAGGGTGACGTCATATCCCCGAAACTCTTCACCGCTGCATTGGAAGACGTTTTCAAGCTTCTGGACTGGAAAGGATACGGTATCAACATCAATGGCGAGTACATCACTCACCTTCGATTTGCCGACGATATAGTCCTTATGGCAGAATCGCTGGAGGACCTAAGCACTATACTCAATGACCTCAATAGTGTTTCCCAACGGATAGGTCTTAAGATGAACATGGACAAAACAAAGATCATGTTTAATGTCCATGTCACACCTATGCCGGTAGTTGTTGGGAACACTAAGCTCGAAGTTGTTGACGAGTATGTTTACCTGGGACAAATAGTCCGACTAGGTAAGTCCAACTTCGACCGAGAGGTCAATCGACGGATTCAACTCTGCTGGGCAGCGTTCGGGAAGCTACGACACATCTTCTCGTCAGACATACCTCAAAACCTTAAAACGAAATTGTACAACCAGTGCGTGTTGCCAGTGATGACTTACGGAACTGAGACGTGGTCCTTCACTGCTGGCCGTATGAGAAAGCTCAAGGTCGCTCAGCGAGCTATGGAGAGGGCTATGCTCGGAGTTTCTCTGCGTGATAAACTTAGGAATGAGGATATCCGCAGTAGAACCAGAGTAACCGACATAGCCCAACGGATTAGTAAGCTGAAGTGGCAGTGGGCCGGCCATATAGCTCGAAGAACCGACAACCGATGGGGAAGAAAGGTTCTCGAGTGGCGGCCTCGTACCGGTAGGCGAAGTGTAGGGCGTCCCCCCACGAGATGGAGTGACGACCTGGTAAGACATGCAGGAAGTCGATGGATGCAGGTGGCTCAGGACCGTGCTTTGTGGCATTCTTTGGGGGAGGCCTATGTTCAGCAGTGGACTTGTGAAGGGCTGTAATGATGATGATGTGTAACTTTCACAACACGGGAAAAATTCCCTGCGTCGTAACTTTTCAAAACAATAATAACCATAAACATAAATTGGAATAAAATTGAATCTATCAAATTAAGTTTATTGACGCCTTTGAAAGCATTATTTTAATTACTACCTATTATATTCTGATTGATTTCTTGGGCTGGGTCGATTCAATTCAATTTGTAACCATTTCCTATGTTTTAATTTACGAAAGATATAACGTTATTGGTAGCGTTTTGTTAGCAAAATTATTCCATTCGAACCGTTGACATCAATTAAATTTTTAACTGCTATATTGATTTATTCTGTATTATATATATATATTGTTAGCGACGGAAAATACCGCGAGGAAACTTGTATATCTAAAAGTTAAAAAAAGTGTTTCCTGTTCCCCCCAATCACCGTACCAAAACAGAAGTGCAGCGCTTAGAGATAACAATTTCGATGGACATTATCATTAAGGAAGCCTAGAATGAATGCTATACGAGACCAGAATGGCTGTATTCTGAATGACGAAGTTTTGAGTTTAAGGAGATGGAAGGAATACTTTGAAAGCGTGTTTATGAGTGATGAGACGTTTGAATTAAATGAAATAGAAATTCCGAAAGAAGAGGAAATAGATAGAGATATAAGTATAGATGAAATAATGAAAGCAATGAAAAGTATGAAAGTAGGTAAGGCAGCTGGTTATGATAGAGTATCTCTCGAAATGCTAAGGGCTGGAGAAGAAGTGGTGGCAGACCTGCTGTACACCTTGTTTAATTTATGTTGGGAACTTAAGCGGGTACCGGGAGACTGGTGCAAAGCCGTGATAGTCCCAATATATAAGGGAAAAGGATCACAGCAGGACTGTAAAAACTACCGTGGTATCAGCCTTCTTAGCATTGTGGGAAAACTGTATGCTAAGGTACTAATTGAAAGAGTTATGAAAGAAACTGACGGAAAAATTTGGGATGTGCAAGCGGGATTTAGAAAGGGAATGGGATGTACGGATCAGGTCTTTTCCATGCGCATGATCGCCGAGAAGTTTTTGGCCAAAAACCAAAAAGTTTTTTGTGCGTTCATGGACTTGGAGAAGGCTTATGACAGAGTGGACAGGGATGTGTTATGGCAAACACTGAACTCATTTGGGTTGAGCGCTGGTCTGATACAGGCATTGAAGTCTCTATATAGGGACTCTAGTGCTTGTGTCAGGATCAACGGGGCCTACTCGGACTGGTTTGACATCCATAAAGGTGTCAGACAGGGCTGTGTGGCTTCCCCGTGGTTGTTCAACCTGTTTATGGACAGTTGTTTGGAAAATTTGAAAGTAGAAGAATGCGGGTTAAGAATGGGTGAGTTAACCGTCAAATGCCTTTTGTACGCCGATGATCAAGTCATACTTGCGTCGTCGGCAGCCGAGTTGCAAATGATGGTTACATTAATGAACAGGACATTAAAAGAAAAGGGAATGAAAGTGAACGCAAGTAAGACGAAAGTTATGGTTTTTGAAAGAGAAGAAAGTAAAACGATATGTGAAATAAGAATAGAAGGGGAGTTGGTAGAGCAAGTAGATGAGTTTGTATATTTGGGATGTGTGTTTAGCAGGGATGGTAGATATGATAAGGATATAGAACGACGAGTGAATGCAGGAAATAGAGTGAATGGGGCTCTACACTCTATTGTGAAAAGTCAGAATGTGTCCAAAAAGGCACGTATGGCAATTCACAATGCTGTGTTAGTACCTACTTTAATGTATGGTAGTGAAAGTTGGGTGTGGCAGAAGAAGCATGAGAGTAGAATAAATGCTGTAGAAATGCGGTCATTAAGGAGTATGTTAGGGATGAAGCTGAATGACAGAGTGAGAAATTGTTTAATAAGAGAAGAGTGTGGTTTGCAAGATGATGTTGTGACCAGGATTAAGAAAGGAATGCTTCGGTGGTTTGGCCATGTAGAAAGAATGAATGAGGAAAGAGTGACAAAGCAAATTTATGTTGCAGAGGTGAACGGCATAGTCGGGAAGGGTCGCCCTAGGCGAAAGTTTATCGACCAAATTGGCGATATATTAAAAATGGGCCAAATCAAGAGTACCTTTAACCGACGAGCGTGTATGCGTAGGTATATGGATGTGGAGGAAGCGAGAGAGGTGTGTCAGGATCGTGCCAAATGGAAGTCCATAATCTCTGCCTACCCCTCTGGGTGACAGGCGTGAGTGTTTATGTTTTTATGAAATGATGATAGTTGTGTACTCTCTAAACTTTCTTATCAATGACGCACACATCTCGCATTCTACCGTCCATTCATCGCAACCGCACTCGGCGCTTATGAAGTAGGCGATATAAATACACCGTTCGATGCGTTCAGTGTAGTGAGGGAACGATTATCACTTTGCGATTATAATTACGATTATTGCGATTATTGCAAATAAAACATACTATTATCGATACAGAAACAAAATATCTTTTGCCATGCCCTAACAGCCTATTAAAGTCCATTGCTGAACGTAGGGGGATACTCCTACAATCATAAGGAGGATATTTGCCATAGTTGCCACGTTTGACAAGTGGTTTGGCAACAGAAGTTTTTTATTTTTTATCGTTATTAGGAATACGCTGCTGCCCATCTCCTGATTTGTGTCCCTCTGCCGCCCCTTACGTCACCAACGCGATGATATGGCGTAGTGGATATTCTACACGGCAAATAAGGTTTGCTGAGGAATTCATAATAAAATTTAAGGGGTTTTACATTTTTGTTAATAAAATATAACATTTCTAGATTTACAGGCGTCAATCTGCTCCTTTTATCAGTTTTTCATTCAGCAGAGTAAAATCATTTCATCGATTAAAAGATTTTCTTTGCGCTTTACGTTAACAATAATTTTATAACCGCTAGACAATCGCAATGATAATAATCTACGAATACGATTAACTGTGCAATGTCGATAATCGTCGATTACGATTAATCGTATTCGAAATAGTTCCATCACTAGTTCAGTGTACGTACGGACGGCGTAACCTCATATGTACTCGTAAACGCGACTCATACAAACAGTTGAAGATAGTTCGGTCAGTTGATTGCGATTGCAGGTCAAGCAAGAAGTGTTTGGGAATTTTGTTTTATTTAGTGTTTGTTTGTTTTATTTGTCAGCGTGACAGTGATGGTGTTCAACGACTGTTGGAGTTCGAATTGTACTTGTTAGTGATCATTTTATCATCTATTATCTTGAAACTCTAATATTTATGTTTGGGTGTTTAAATTTACGAAAAGTTTTAATTATGTTGTTTTTATTTTATTTTTTATTGGTGCAACTTCAAGTTGTTTATTAAACGCTGTGGAACATCATTCTATAACATGATTCATTTGTAAACAATTAAATTTACATAATATGTTATGCTTACCAGACTTTTAGGGGCTATAAAGTTTAAAATATCTATTCGTATATTTATTAAATATACTGCGAGTTGTAGTGTGTTGTTAGTTTTTTTTTTTTGTAGAAGCCCATCTTCTGGCGAACGAGCATTTGGTTCACCTGATGTTGATGTTCACCGGAGCTCATGAAGAATTAAAAGCGCAAGGGAATTAGTATGTGTGTTGTCGGAATTTTAAAAATAGTGGGCTAATAGTAGTTTTTTGAAAATCTCAAAGGAGGAATGGTTTTAACGAACTCTGATACGACACTACTATACATTTTATCGATTAATGGTAAGGAACGATTAGTTTATTTTTAAATAAACAAACGAGCTAACAGTCCAGCTGATGGCAAGTGCCTCCCACAGCCCATGGACACCTGCAAACACACACTCAGGCTACAGCCCATAAAAGTCCCCATAGATTACCTCATAGGGGGATATTTGCCATAGTTCTCACGCAGACTTGTTGGCAACCACATTTTTTGCTGCTATCGGGAAGATGCTGCTGCCCATATCCTGTTGTAGTTTCATTGTCGCCTCTCACGATGCCCACTTGGTGATATGGGATAGAGTATTCTCTGATGTCACCACACTGCGATGCCTCACTAATTATACTCGATGTCTTACACTAAATACTAGAACAAAGCAGTGGGCCAATCCTGTTTGCTGTTTGGCAGCAGAAATTGGTAAAATTACTCCCAGACAAAAAGTTTTTTTTTTAATAGGATTAGGGTGACAAAGGAGCACACAGGCCACCTGATGGTAAGTGGTTGCTGTGGCCCAATAGACATATAAATCTATCCTCGATTACGAATCGAAATGCAGATGCGTAGTCACTCGTGGGAACTAAGATGGAATACCTCGCTTCCAGTAAAAAAGAGTCTCCGGTTCTCTACACTCACCATACGAAACACAGCAGCGTTAAGCTGCTATTTTACGCTGGTATTCTGAGAGAGCGTGGTTCTTTCCCGGTCAAACCGACCCATTCGTGCTACAACTATACCAGTAATATAGCTACAGCATGGCTCTACCACGTATAAAAAATCACTTTTCTACCACCAGCTACTCCTTTCGTAATGATGACTGGCGAAATTGAGTATCCAAACTGTCTTAGAACTGTCTGTCTGTAACATTTATTTTCCGGTGTCAGAAATAGATCAATCTAACTGTCTGCTCTAACAACGTTGTTAATGTTATACATCATAATCATTTAACACAATCTAGATTCTGTGTGAGTCAGGTTGCGAACTAGAATTTCTTAAAAAAACTCGGCGTTGTCTGAGTCACAGCAAGACTTCCTTTTGGCTTGTTTTTACTTTTCGACGCTTGACTACAATTTCACCGGTGGTAAGCGGTGATGAAACCCTGGATGATAAATAATCCTTTTTACTAGAAACAGGGCATTCCATCTTAGTGCTCAGACGTGGAAACGCATCTGCATTTTGATTCTTAACCGAGGATATTTGTAGATGTCTATCCAATTACACAGCATCCAATTACCATCAAGTGTAGGTCGGAAAGATAGATGCTGGCAATTTATTTCTCTCCATTGTTTTCGTTTTAGCGCTAAAAGTTATTGCTTGTTCTTCTGGTCGTTTATCCTCTATGGTGACAGCTTTCACATGTTCCTAAGTGCTATACTGCGTATGGGATATGTAGTGCTGTTGGCTGCCTAGTGGTTCCGGGAACCCGGGTTCGAATCTCGATCACGAAATTAGTCTCGTAGTCAGGAGCAAAGAACATAAAGCCGTTGGTCCTGCGTCTGTTCTCTCTGCGGTTGCCGCCGCCCCATCGGACTATAAGTGTGAGGGAGTGGAGAGTGTACCTGTGTTTGCGCACACACCCGTGCACTGTAATCCTGTTCTGTGGAGATGGCTAATTTCTGTTGAGGGTCTCAACTTAAGACTGGCCGCCGTGACCGTCGATCTGAAGAATATTATTATAGTATATACCTATATATGCGTAGTAACGAGTGTCTCAGTAAGAGTGCACTTTTTAAAATTGGAATATTTTTTTTTTCATGCAAGTGGCAACTCTGAAATTTGACAGCTGTCATCTCTGTTTATTCCCATTATTAAAAATGGAGAGGTTTTCGAAAGACCAACGCGTTATAATTGTGAAAACTCATTACAAAAATGGGGAAAGTTACGCTGAAACCGCTCGCAAACTTCGCCAAATTTTCAGCCGAGAAAGTGCACCCAATGTGTCAACCATTCAAAGAGTGGTTAAAAAATTTGAAGAAACTGGTTCAATTATGGATAATAAGAATCCTTTGCGTCAACGTACCGGTCGGTCTCTTGAAAACATTGCTGCTGTAAACGAGAGTGTTGCCGAAAACCCGAAAACATCAATTCGACATCGTTCTCAACAACTTCAAATTTCACGAAGCACTACGCAGCGAATTTTGACTAAAGACCTCCACCTTCATGCGTACAAGATTCAGTTAACTCAGGAGCTCAAACCAGCAGACCACGGAAAGCGCTGGCAATTCGTTCAATGGGTAATGGAGCAAAGTGAAGTCGATACCAATTTTTCGGAAAAAGTTATTTTCTCCGATGAAGCGCATTTTCATTTGGATGGCTTCGTGAATACACAAAATTGTCGAATTTGGGACTCAGAAAATCCTCATGCAATCCATGAGAAACAAATGCACCCACAACGAGTAACTGTCTGGTGCGGATTTTGGTCAGGCGGCGTGATTGGACCTTACTTTTTTGAAAATGAGGCCGAAATTGCAGTGACTGTGAACGGCATTCGTTACAGGAATATGATAACGGACTTCTTGTGGCCTCAACTAGACGGCATGGATCTGGACAACATGTGGTTTCAGCAGGACGGCGCAACCTGCCACACCGCGCATGAAACAATCGACTTATTACAGCAACGATTTCCAGAACACATTATCTCACGAAACTCTGATGTCAACTGGCCACCAAGATCGTGTGATTTAACGCCGTGCGATTTTTTTCTTTGGGGTTTTGTGAAATCTCGGGTTTATGCGAATAAACCCGAAACAATTCCTGAGCTCAAATCGGAAATCCAACGCGTCATCGGTGAGATACAGCCACATCTCTGTGCAAAAGTCATGGAAAATTTCATGAAAAGAGTAATGGCCTGTCATCGGAGCCGTGGGGGTCATTTGCCGGATATTTTATTCCATACTTAATCGGAACATGTCTTCTTTACAATACAATAAAAATATCACAACTCTGTCATAAAATACTTGTTTTTATTTTAAAATGAAAAAGTGCACTCTTACTGAGACACCCGGTATATGCTATATTTTCTACAAACTTCAAAAAAAGAAAGAGGTTCTTAATTCGACTGTAATTTTTATGTGTGTTACCTCAGAACTTTTTTTCTAGGTGAACTGATTTTGATGTTTCTTTTATTATTTGAAAGCTGATGCTTTTCATGTGGTCCCGTATAAATTGATCAAGATCTGACCAGCTGTTTTTGAGTTATCCTTAACAATGCGTATTTAATTGATTTCCACTACATTGACGATGTTCTCATTTTATTTTTTAACGTGGTAGAGCCATGCTGCAGCTATATTAATAGTATAGTTGTAGCACGAATGGGTCGGCTCGACCGGGAAAGGAACACTCTTTTATAGAATACCAGCTTAAAATAGTAGCTTAATGCTGTTGTGTATCGTGTGGTGATTGCAGATAACCGGAGAACCTTTTTACTGGAAAAGAGGAATTCTAACTTAGTCCTCAAGGCTGACAACGCATCTGCATTTTAATTCGCAAACGAAGGTAGATAGACACATATAGATGTCTATGGGCCACAGCAACCACTTACCATCAGGTGGACTGTGTGCTCGTTTGTCACCCTTATTCTATAAAAGAATTGTCTTTTTAATCTTTAGCGCGTTTGTTAGTGATCGTGTAAGTTCTGAACGACTTGAACTGATGTAATCATATTCATACAAAATATTTGCTTACTTGAGGCGATGATTCATAGCTATGCTAGTATCCAATAGGTGACGCTGTAGTTGTATATAAGTTAAGTAACAAACCTAGTAACAAACCAAATTACTCATATTTACAATGTGTTGATTTAGTATAACTTATGTTATATTTTTACTTATCATAAATTTACATTTTAAAAAGTTTGGAGTGAATTGTTAGTGCAATTCATCTAGCAATAAAGGCCAGAACGACGTCTGCTCGGCTGGCTAGTTTAATTCTAAAAAATTGAAGATTTACAACTTTATTAGTTTTGGCACGAATGGGTCGGCTCGACCGGGGTGTAGGACCACGCACTCACAGATCACCAGCCTAAAATAGCAGATTATTGTTGCTGTGTTTCGTATGGTGAGTGTAGAGAACTGAAGACCTTTTTTCTGGATACCAGTATTCAATCTTAGTCCTCAGGTGACAACGCATCTACATTTTTATTCTTAAACAGGAATCAACTTAGTTGGCTATAGGTCACAGCATCCACTGACCATCAGGTGGACTGAGTGCTCATTTTTCACCCTTATTATATTTAAAAAAAACTTTTTTAACTATTTAATATGCTTTTTTATTTAGGAAGACAGTATATATATATATATACAGTAATCTATATCTATGGACCACAGCATCCACTTATCATCAGTTGGATATGTGCTTGTTTGTCACCCTGACTTGTATAAAAGTATAACGTACACCAAATCAGGAGATGGGCAGCAGCGTCTTCCTAATAACTTCTAAAATAAAAAAAACTGAGGTTGACAAACCCGCTTGCCAAGCGTGGCAACTATTGTTAATATCCCCCCTATAAGGCAATCTATGGAGGAGGCCCATGTTCAGCAGTGGACTTTAATAGGTTGTAACGGTAATGTTGATTTAAAAGAGGGAAAAATTAAAATGTAAACGGACATTGTTTCAGTATGTTTGCAACAACGTAACGATAATATTATCTTAACATAACTTTGGGAGCACGTCAAATGTTGGGTGATTAGTTAGTCGTTAATAAAGCATTTGGTTAATTGATTTGTTAGACTGGTGAAAATTCCAAATCATTTTTATCTAGCTTTGTCTTATTGTACCTCGAATTTTGTGTGCGTTTACCTCATCGCCGTAATCACAAACACTCATTCCGATCACCCAAAGGGGTAGGCAGAGACTACGGACTTACATTTGACACGAACCTGAGACACCTGTCTCGCCTGCTGTACGCCTACCTCACTATATTATTATCTGTTTTAAATAGAATTTTGAGTGCATATATCTATTATTATGTATTCTTAAATTGTACATATTCAAAAGTCTAGGGGATATTTGCAATAGTTGCCACGATTGCAAGTTGCAATCGGATTGGCAATCATAGTAGTATATTTTCTAGGAAGACGCTGCTGCCGATCTCCTAGTTAGTTTCCCTCTGTCGCCTTTTACGACAACCGCGGGACGATATGGGGTAGTGGATATTACTACATCGCCACTACACGGTCATATTTATTTAGGTCATAGATATTTTTTTAACTTATTTTAAGTCAATGCTTGACCACAATCCCACAATGGTAAGTGGTGACGAAGCCTTAGATGAAGAAAAACCTATTCATACCTATATATTAGATATTTTCAGGTATTTTTGACTTTCTTGATATTTCTGTCATATCGAGTGCTTTGCATTACACCTTATCAAGGAATGATAACTGAGCTGTTTGACGTCCTGATGTCATAGTTAATCCGGGGTACCTTAGCAAAATGTGCCAACAGCAGTCTTGCAGTGATATTCTTGGCTTTGAATGGAATTCAGTTTTCTTAATCATATAATTCCATACCGATAATAACGACCAGTCCTCTTCTCTTTAGACATTAAATATGTTTTAATTTTCTCGCGAATCGGTTTGTTTAACTACGTTTGTTTATACATTTGTAAGATATTGCTTCGAAGCTATTTTAAAGATTTAAGAAATTTCAGTGTACCGGATTTAGAACTGATGTTGAACTGATGTTGTATGCGGCTTGCTAAAATTCTTATGCTGTTGAGAGCTATGGTAGCTCAAATTCTTTTTTATAGAATAAGATTGATAAATGAGCACACAATCCACATAAGGGTAAGTGGATGCTGAGGCCAATGACATGTTCATTTATCCTCGATTAAGAGTAAAAATGTGGATGCGTTGTCACCCCTGAGGACTAAGATGAAATAGCGCGTTTCCAGTAAAAAGGGTCTCCACTCTCCAGTTCTCTACACTCACCATACGAAACAACAGTATGAAGATGCTAGTTTACGCTGGTACTCTGTGAGAGCGTGATTCTACCACGGTCGTGCCGACCCATACGTGCTACAACCATAATATAGCTACAGCGTGGCTCTACCCCCTATAAACCGTATTGACGGCTCCGTGGCGCAGTGGCTCAGCAATGAGTTGTTGCGCTGGGGGCCGCGGGTTCGAATCCCGCACGGAACAAGTATTTGTATGGCCTACAAATTATTGTTCCGGGTTTGGATGTTTGTCCTTGTGCAATTTGTGTTTGTAAACTGCCTCCACGATACAGGAGAAAATCCTAGTGTGGGGGTAACGTTTCTAAAAAGTAAAATAAAAAAACCCATTGAAGTATTATGTACTAAGTACTAGAACTGACACCGCGATCAAAATCTAAATGTGTAGTAAGTTTGAGCCCGCGGTCTCTAACGTGTGTTGCTAATAACTCTCGGTGTCTCTTCTAGTGTCTATAATATATAAATCTACATATATATATAATATAGTGCCTACTTGATGTCGTTTTACTTATTAGAAAAACATTTCTTAATATGCTAAGGTTTTCTCCTGTATCATCTACATCTACATCTACACTACTATTATAAAGAGGAAAGATTTGTTTGTTTGTTTGTTTGAATTGAATAGACTCTGAAACTACTGGACCGATTTGAAAAATTCTTTCACCATTAGAATCCTACATTATCCCTGATGAACATAGGCTATATAATATTTTCAGAAAACTTATGGTTCCGTATGATAACTTCGTTAATGTAACCCAAGGTGTGAAAAAAATACCAAAAAGAATCCTTATATCGCGTACGCTGCGGAAACTATTGATAATAGAGCAAAGTAATGTACTTCAGTTTTATAGAGGATATCAATATCTACAAAAAAGTCTGCGATACCATATGTTTAAATATTACAGTTTTGACACCATAACTACTTTTTCATGTTAAAATGTCAAATAGTAACGACGGTACAAACTAGGCCACATTATTCGTATCAGTACCTGTATCATGCATAACCACCAATTACGTTACATGTAATTTTAATAACATATTTCATTTTTTAAATCTTTGTTAATTCAGCAACCGTCCGTCGTAATGTCTCTCTCGAAGTCCGCATGTCGCAAGGCGCAGAGGCGTGATATACGCGGGTGAAACCGCGGGGCACAGCTAGTGTAGTATATTTTAATATTTGAATACTTTATTTTATTGTCAGACGTTGTAATTTTATTGTTTGCCTGGATATCTTATTATTATACTTGGTATCGGTTCTGTTGACGCAATCTTGAGTCCGCACTCTCCACCGCAAACCGCACGCACGGGCAACTAGGCAAGAGGGGAGTTGATTCATACTGACATACCTAATGCACAATTATTTATTAGACAAATGCGAAGCGACAGTAGCCTAGTAGACCAGGGGTTCCCAAACCTTTTCAGTTTGCAGAGCTATAGTATTTGTCAATATATGCGTGAAATGAAACTGACCTGACTGAAACTACCTTTTCAAAAGTATATTATTATGCAATTAAAAAAATCAATAAATAAACTTTTAATGACAAGTTTGTCCTCGTGTAAACTTGCTGATATCCATAAGTTCTTTCAAATTGCAGTGTAAGGTTTGATACTGCTACTATCATTTCTTGATCCAAATTGACTTTTGAGTGATATTTGCTCTTTATTATAGTTACTGCTGAAAATCCAGCTTCGTATAAATAGGATATTGCAGAGGAACTGAGAATTCTTAAAGCTTTTTAACTTAAGAGTTGGATATTAATTTTTTACCGTTATCTATCTTCACCAAATCGGAAAAAGCCAGTTTAAGACTACTGTCGCAAAAGGGTTTCAGGAACGGCGACTTTACATCCTACGGCGCCCTAGGGCGCCACGACGCACATTTTGGAAACTCCGGTAGTACACAGTAGCGGGGTAGGGTGCGAACAGTAAAATTAAAAAGTCGTAGGTTCGAATCCGCCATTCGACTACTGAGTTGAACCTCTTTATTTTTTATTTTTTTCATTTTCTCAACACTAGCCGTCCAAGTTTACTTAGAATGGTTAACGGGAGGTTTGGTTATGTCTGCTTTTTTTTGATGTTTTATATCTAGTAAAAAATCCCCATTGCTCGCCCAGTCTAGATTCGTCTCAATAAGTAGCAATGCTGGATGCCTAATCCAAATTGAAAAGTACCAAACGTTCTCGCTCTCATCTGTCTGTCAATTTCTAAGTGTCACTTTGTCAACTCGGTTCGGAACCGGAAGACATGATCTTTTTAGTTTTTATCATGATAGTCTTCTGTAACCAACTTACGGCTTGAAATTACGCGAAATTATAGAGGTACGCTCCGGCTTCGCACGGGTGGATTCCGCATCCCGACAACAGTGTCACCTACCGGGTCCAAATGTGAATCTAAACCATCTAGAGACCCATTCTAACACACAAAAAGACTAGCGGACAACAATTGTTTTTTACACATAAAGATTTTGCTAAGTGGTGGGGCTACTTTACTATCTAAAGTTTATCTCTTAATACATTAACACACTTTTACCTATATGTCCCATCAACCGCCTATGATATGTTCCAGTGTGAAAGTTTTAAATTATTTAGTATTCAGGAGTTGTTTGGCAAATTCTCATGTCATATTTCACGATGACTGTATCGCCGCGAGTGAGGGACTTCTTTCGTGAGAAAGACTTAAACTATAACTTAAACCTGGGTCTATCAATAAACAACGTTTTGTAATCAGACGGTATATGTAATAAGTTCGCGTCCGTTGCGGTTAAGATGGATAAATTAACTAACTCACAATTTTATAGTTATCCGATTCGTTGCGGCACCGATTTTCGACAACTTTTAGCTGTGGCGGCGGACAAATATTTCATGACACGCCTGGCGTGTCAGACGCCTAAGAAGTTTAAATAAAAGACACGACTCGCGTGTCATACGCCACACACAAAAATAATCGATGGCACGCCTGGCTTGCCATCCGCACTGAACCGGTTATCGAACCATAGCGCTTGCTGTGTACAAAATAGAATTAATGTACGGTTGGACCAGAGATTGGACTATACCATACCATACCATATCATACCATACCACACCACTGGAGTGCCAGGAGTACCTTTGTTTAAAATTGATTGCAGGTGTCAATGGGCTGCATGTTCCACTTACCATTAGGTCGACTGTTAGCTCGTTTGTGACTCTTAATAGATTAAAATACAAATAATCTTTGCTTCATCGTTATATTTCAAGGGTTTTCTTAATTTATTCTATCAGTATTAGAGGAATATAACTGGTTTTTTTTTTTCGTTTGACAGCATTGGCAGCCAGTGACAAAGATGAGTCGATGCCAACGGACGCCACTAAACGCCACACCATGCCACCGCAGCCGGCGCCCAGGCCTACCATCAAGGACAAGGTAACTTTGAAACCATATAATATGAATTGAATTAATTGTCAAAATTAGTTTCGTAATATAATTTTGAGCTGAAACTTCACCAATATCATGGTCACCCTTGCAAATAATAATAATTTCGTATTTCGTAAATAAGATGGTTGCTAATTGCCAGCACTTTTGTTAACTGATTTTGCTAAGGTTTCTTAACAAACTAACGGGCTGTATTTATCGGCTGAGTACAACATGGTACCTACACGACTTTATTCATAAAATTTGACGTCAGTTAAAGAAATTATTGGACTTGCTTTCTCTCTTTTCACTAAATGTCCAAAGAAAGAGATAGCCATAGGAATAATAAATACTTTATTTTCCTTGTCCGCGAAAAAGCCACAATAGCTACGCAATCGAGATGTTCGTATACAGAGTTATTTTGCAATAACCGGCCAAAGCACATAAGGTTGAGAATAATTAATATAGACAAATGGTGAAGAAAAACTAATTTAAAAAAATCTCAAACATTCTGTCCTTTTTATCTTTTAAATTCAGTATGCGTGGTAATGCATTATTTTAACTGATTTTACTGCGCACGCACACATTCGTATGGATGGATCAGTAGGCAAAAACGTTGTGAACTGAACCGCACACAGAGAAGCGCACGTACACGTTGTTGTTGATCATAAATCACATTCAATTTGGGATAATTTCAAATAAAAGTAGAAGCCTTATTTACTCAAAACTCAAAAAGTGCAATAACGGTATATCATTATTTATATATTTGAACTTGAGTTTAAAATTTGGTTACTCTTTGCAAAATAACCACGTATATTACTAATGGGTCAGCGAAACGGTTAAGGAAACGATACCAATGTTTATAAGTGAGGCTGAGTGAATATTATAATTTATCAATATACCTTGTCTACAAATTTTGTTTACTCAAGGCGTTTCTTCACTGGCTGTTCCACTTTTATAAAAGAGTATGTTTTTTATATTCATAAATAAAAATACACTGTGTTTGTTACGTTTTTCTGTTGTTTATAATATAGAACATTACGCAACCTCTTTTGTACTAGAGGGTTGAGAAAAGCTGTTCTGAAATTCACATGGATGTTATCATTACACCTAAAACATAATTAACGTACATATCAGATAGTAACATTAAATTATAATATGTGTGAATGTTTTATATAACCTTTTATTAAGTTCATTAATTATTTAATTAGTAGTACCTTTGTACTCTATCTGTATTCCTTACCTATATCCATCTTCAAGTATATCCGGTTCCTGTGTTTAAGAAACGGGTCGTTTTCCGTAACTATTTGTTATATTTAATAAGAAGTGCGTTTAAAACCATTTCAAATACAAACTACCTTCATTGGAATATGACGACAGAAAATGAAAGAACAAGAGTTGTTATGCTCGACACACACGGTCAGTTAAACTGATCAGTTAAACTGATGAGACTAACTAATCAGTTAGAACGGATGTAAGCCGCCTAAACGATTTCCTCACTGGCTTCAAATTTCAACTTAAGATTTCACACTCACGGTCAGTTTTTGGATGTACGTCAGTTCAATTGATCGCTAACTGACCGTGCGTCCGGAAAAATCCATGGGTTGCCGTCAGTTAAAAATTTCAAGTTAAGATTTCAGTCAGTTTTAGATGTGCGTCAGTTTAACTGACCGCGTGTGTCTGCAACTAAATATTTCATTAGTGTTTGCAATCGTTTTTCCATGAATTTCGTGCACAGTTATCCGTTGGATAGTAAGGAAAGACGAGAAGTTTTTAAATATAGGAACTAGATGTTTACAAAGATGTACGTAGCCCATTCGAATATTGCAGTAGTTTACTATAATAATATTTTGCCTGATCATTTAAATCATAATTACTTGCGTGTTGTTTTTTTTAAGAAATTCGTTACGTCTTAATAACCGGGATACGTTAATCTATATTTTTTCTTGAATAAAATCTAAAGTAATGAATTTAAATAATTTCTTACCTAATTCTATAAATCATGTTCTTTGCACGATAAAAACAAAATTGTAGTGCTAAAGCAAATAATAATATATTATCTTATTATTACAAATTTTAAGTCACTTGCATTTATTTCCATTGTTCATACTTGTCGTAAAATAAACAATAATGATCATAAATATATTAGTAATTTCGACAAAGCCAGATTTGCCATATTTTATATGATTAATGTATTTATTAATTGTTTCAGTGGTTTTAAAAGTTCTCATTAGTTTGGATATCCCCATTGGTCTAACGCGGAAATAGATGCGATAAATATGAACAATGATGTCATAAATACCATGTCGCAGAACAGTATAAGAATGGTACGGGCACATAATATTGTCGTTAGACCCCGTTGGTGTATTAAAAGATGTTTGCACGTGGATGACGTCATTCATTGTAATGCTTGTTCCACCGTTGGGGATCACACTACCGTAGGCCAAACGATTTATGAGCCTCACCATTAGTGTAAACAATTCGTTTTATGTTATCTGAAAAAGGTCAAAAATAAAAGGTAAAAACAATGCTACTTAATATGACAATGTAGAGCCACGCTACAGCTATAGTTTGTTCACTAAGATATTGTCGGTATACCCGGAGGCGCACTTATTATTTTGTTTTTATTTTATAATTTTTTATTGTGTTTGTTATATAAATGTTTTTCTATTATAACAAAATACGAATATAAATAATAAACACAAGTTAGCTTTCACTACGGCGCTTCGTTTTAAAATGCCAATTTCTCCTGCGGGTGTACGCGCCTTTGACAAGACGCGGCACGTGCCAAGGCACCGCGACACATAGGCGACCGTATCTAAGCGAACAGACTATATAATATTATGGTTGTAGCACGAATGGATCAGCCCGACCGGGGAAGGACTACGCTTTCACAAGATACCAGCGTAAAATAACAGCTTTAACGTTGCTGTGTTTGGTATAGTGAGTGTAGAGAATTGAATACTGTCCTTTCTTTTCTTATTCTATAAAAAAAATAAAACCCGGCTTCTGAAGCTATTATGTAATAGTTGTTTTATTTCATTTTAGTTTTTTTAAGTCGGCTTTACTTTTTAAAAGTCAAATATGTTGACTTTTTTCGAAAAACTTTATTCCACATTTTGCCCACCCTTAGGGTTGGAATTATTAGCTAGTAACATTGTCTGTCGGTTGTATTTCGTTATCGTGTGAATTGAAACTGTTTTAAACGGTATTGTAATCCCCGGTGGCCCATTAATCGTTGTCCATTACGCACGCTGCTCGGATTAGCTGCGGAGAAGGTCCGGCGGCACGGCCAGCGCCAGTTCTGCCAGCTCCCTCGAGGGGGAGTACCACGCCGAGCGCCTCGAGAAGGTGCCTTCTACCCTCAACCTTATATAAAACGTTAAACACTAAAGACCACCGCTAACCTGCCTCCATAAATAAAAAGGCATATCTGCAACTATTCTAGAATTAACTCGAAACCATTGAAATGCACAAAATGCACTATCGTATAATATTTTCGGGATTAAAAGTGTTAAAAAGGTAAATATCCATTTATCCTTTTTAATGGTGCTGTATATGTATGTCGTCTGATCGTTAGAATTGGGCAGATCGTGAACTGTCTGGGCATTTGTTGGTCTATAATTTCAACTATGACTTTTGTTAATAGTTAGAATTATACGAAATCACCTATCTAGTAATATCAGCGACACTAAGTACGGACGCACCGTATATTTCTAAAATATATAAATTATGCACAAAGTAATAGTATAATAAATAAGATTATAATTTATCGGACAAATTCTAAAATGGCTGCGTGTCACTAAATGTCCTCCAACGATCTTAGTACAACACGTATATGTCGTAGTCCAGTCGTGAAATTGGGCAAATTGTAAACTTTATGTAACGTTTTATTGTAAGGGTTTGTATGTAAAGGCCACCCCAGTCGCACCTTAACCTACTGTCGTTGATGTTACTAGATAGCTGTTTTCGTATTTTTGATTATTATATTAACAGAAGTCAAAGTTGCAAATTTTGACGTATCATGAAATGCCCACATAGATCACGACCTAATTCTAACGATTATACTACGACATGTATATAATTTGATCTCCCTTAAAATGTAGATCTGCCTTTATATTTACGACGGCATTAGCGCTTTGGACACTTGTACGACCCGCAGAAGTTTGTTTGCACTGAGTTTTACCTATAATATAAGCTATTGGAAGGCGCATTTCTTTTAAACTGTTTTGCTTAACATAATTTGATTTTTGTAACTTTAGTTTCAAGTATGATTTTAAAATTTTGGGCGGGAGATTTAAAAAGAAAGTTAATCGAACTCGACGTATAAGTTTTTAATAAATTAGGAATTAAAACGCGAAGCTTCTGAGGGGACTTTACAGTAGCTAAATTGTCTGTGTTTTAATACATTCCAATGAAAAGAATTCAGTAAAAAATTAAAGAGACAATAGGAGTTTTGATAGGTTTATGCATGATGTACCTTTGACACCATTTGCACTAAAACGAAAGATTTCCTATCATGCACGACCATCTACATCAGATCGGCAAGTATCTGGTATTTAGTGTGGTAAATAATGACTAGATAAAGAATCCCCTTAGAGCTTCCTCTTTTCTGTTGGCTGATGCATGACAAGTATGTAGTTTTGGTAATGTACAATTAGAAAATGACGAGTAGAATTGGTTGTTTCGCTTGGATAATGCACCTTAAGACGTTCATTTAGTGGCAGATGTTTATTTATTTTTAAAATAAATAGTATGTTGCAATTAAAATGAAATGTAAATTTAGAATGTCATAAATCAATTCTTATCTGATCCAAATCAATCGATATAAAAACCGAAATACATAATTACATACATACCAATTGAATAGTTTCTATAATTAATAGTCTAACAATTGGAAGGTTGTCGAATAACAAATCCAAACGGTATTCTGAAGCCCTGCCCTTTTTAATCTGGGACTTGGTTATTTCAGAAACCTCCACCAGGGGCAGTTAAGGTGATGCCAACTGCGCCACCGGATAAGAAAGAAGAAAAGATGGTGGCAGAAAGAAAGCCAGCTGAAAACGGTACGTTTGTCAAATATGTAGGCTTAGTATTTTCCAATTAGTCTTAATACCGTAACACTTGAATTTGATTTAGATTATATTTTATGAAAAGTAATTTAAATAGTATACAATATAGAAACTTCAATACATAGAATTAATTATACATAAAATATAAGATATAGAGTACCAGAGTACTGGCAGGTTAAAATGAACAAATCGGTTTTTACTAGACTGCGCGAAGCAAAGGAGTGTAATGTGTGTCAGCCTATATATGTATGTATTTTTGTTCCTTTGTGGTAAGTGGTGTGTAGAGATCAAACGCGTGGGCCGATTTTGATGATTCTTACGTCGATCGATTTGCCTTAATCTTGCGAGTGTCACTAAAGATATGACAGTAATTAAAACTTAATATAGCGAGAACCAGACGCCATATTCTTTTATCTTATATCTATTATATTCTTTAATCTTAGTAAATATTTTTTTAATAGGATAAGGGTGACAAACGAGCACACAGTCCACCTGATGGTAAGTGGTTGCTGCTGCCCATAGACATCTACATCTATCGCCGTTTGCGAATCAAAATGTAGATGCGTTGTCACCCGTGAGGACTAAGATGGAATGCCTGTTTTGCAGTAAAAAGGGTCTCCGGTTCTCTACACTCACCATACGAAACAAAGCAGCGTTAAGCTGCTATTTAAAGCTGGTATTCTGGGAGAGCATGGTCCTACCTCGGTTGAGCCGACCCATTCGTGCTAACACTATACAATTAATATAGCTGCAGCATGGCTCTACCACGTATAAAGTTTGTTTTACGCAGTCTAGTTTTTTAAATTAATGTTTTAATCAGTAAGCTTGTGTCTCGTCTTATTCATATTTTTATCATATCTTATTTTCAGGCACTGACACAACCAGCGATCCGGGTATCACAAACAACGTGGAAACTCCTAAGAGGTCTAAGGTGAGTACTGTAAATATTTACTTTACACATTTTTCTCAATATATCAAACATCAAACGTTCAGTTTTAATTTAATTTCTTCCAAGCCAGAATGGTAGACAAGATGAGGCGTTGTTCACTATTAATACTACAATGTGATTGTCTGGCAAAAGTAGATTTTTTCTGTATCATACAAGTTATCTGTAAATATTAATGTTAGATACGCAATAGCAAGCATGTTGAAATATTGCATTTTATGTCATTCACAATTTGATTCAGTTTTAAAATGTTATAAAATATGTACATATAAATGTCAAATTTTCTGCTATAATTTAAATGATTATTTTATTACTGTATTTTTTTCTTTCCCTCCCATTCCTTCGATCCAATTCAGGCGGGAGGCTTCGGAATTTTTGGTAGTAAAAAAGAAAAATCCCCGAAAGATGAAAAGTCCCCGAAAGACAAATCGCCAAAATCTAGAGATAAATCACCAAAAGCTAAAGATAAATCGCCTAAAGAAAAAGACAAGAAACTGAAAGACCCTAAAACAAAAGTCGCCGTACTCGATACGTCTAATGAAAGCTCAAATCTCGATAGTTCAGTTGAAAAAAGCCCAAGTAAAGGTGATGGGAAACCAAGCTTTACTAAACCTTACGAATATACGGACACTGAGAAAAGTCCAACTCGCACTAAACCTTTTATTCAAGGGGCATTTAGCTATGAAAAAGAGCCAATTTCCGATGAAAAGCAAAGAAGTCTTGATGACAGTCAAAGCCCCACTACGAGAAAGGCTGGATTGGCATTCAATTATGCCCCAGGAGAAGATAAGAAGGTGGCTGAAAGTGCTGAAAAACGCAAAACCCCTGAAGATCCTAACAAACTTAGAACACCTGGTATTGATTATGTAGAATCGGCTGCTTTAAAAGAACAAGCCAAAGGACCCAAGCACCTTATTGATCCAACCTTGGCCTTGTTAGACTCTGAGAGAGCTCACCATGAAACCCCCGTTACTGCGGTAGTACCGATTACTAAAAAAGACAACGAAATACAAGTGGTAATTATAACGGGTCGATATAATCCAAAAACGAAGAAACTTGATGATGCTAATGGAACTATTCTTGTAACCAAGGGCACTCTGAACAAATCTAATGGAAAGATACAGACGGAAACAGAGTTAATAAACACAAAATCAGGCCAAATAAACTATACTGATCCAGCAACCGGTAAACAAGAAGTGAAGAATGGTCATGTTGATTCCAAATCTGGTCATATTCTATTTACATCTGGTGTCATTGACCCTAAAACGGGGAAAATTGACCCCATTTTGGCACAGCTATACTGTTTTGTTGAAAAATCTGAAGACAAAGTTGGTGCTAAGCCTGGTAGAGAAGTAGATTTAGTTGTTATAACTAGTAAATATGACGGAAAACACAAAAAACTTGATCCATTACATGGACATGTGGACGTTTCCAAAGCTATTGTCGCATCTGATGGCACTGTTTATTCAAATTATGGGACCATTGATCCTAGATCCGGTAAGATTGATTATATCGACCCGAAAACGGGCAAACAAGATCCAAAACAAGCGTATGTTGACCAAAAGACTGGAAATCTTCTTGTGACAACCGGAGTCTTAGACATAAAATCAGGAAAGGTGGATTCATCACTTGGACAACAGTTCAGTGTCGTCGAAAAGGACGCCACAAAGGCTAACAGAGAAGTGAGGTTGGTTGTCATAACAAGTAAATATGATATCAAAAACAAAAAGCTAGACCCGACGTTTGCCCACATTGATTCCACAAAAGGAGTACTAAGTGGAACTGATGGCAAAATTTATTCAGAGTATGGTATCATTGATCCTAGAACTGGTGATATCCAAGTAACTAATACAGAGACAGGCAAACAAGAGATTAAACATGCTCAAATTGATCCAAAAACAGGTAACATTCTTCTGCTCTCAGGAGTGATTGACCCTCGAACCGGACAACTTGATACTACGCTAGGACAACAGTATAGTGTCGTCGATAAGCCTATATCTACATTTGCTTCGGTTTCAGGAAAGGACGTTCAAGTTGTAGCAATTACCAGCAAATATGACTCAAAACACAAGAAATTAGATAATCCTAACGGATTTGTTGAGATCTCTCAAGCCATCATAAGCGATAAAGACAGTAAAGTGCATTCTAATTTTGGTATTTTAGATCCGAACACTGGAAAAATTCATTTTACAGATCCAAAGACCGGTAAACGTGATTCAAAACAAGCTAGTATAGACCAAAAAACGGGCAGCTTTATTATAACTTCTGGAGTTATTGACCCCAAAACCGGTAAAGTTGATTCTTCACTTGCTCAACAGTTAAGTGTTGTTGATAAAACTGCTCCGAAGGGAATACCTGAGAGACGAGTAAATTTGGTTGTAGTGACGGCCAAGTACGATCCTAAAATGAAAAAACTGGACCTTTCCACTTCTCACGTAAATACGTACCCCGGTACAGTGGACATTGACGATAAAGTACACACGGAGTTTGGTATAATTGAACCTAGCATTGGCCAAATTACTGTTACTGATCCTGTAACTGGCAAACAAGAAACAAAGAAAGCAACAGTCGACACGAAAACTGGTAATTTATTACTCACATCATGTGTTGTTGATCCACGGACTGGACAAGTGGATAGCTCCTTAGGTCAGCAACTTAGTATTGTCAATACGCCTAAGGACACGTTTGCAGGTGTACCGGGTAAAGAAGTGCAGTTAGTAATTATCACAAGTAAGTATGATTCTAAGAACAAAAGATTGGATAATCCTAATGGTCATGTCGATACTTCAAGAGCAATTATTTCTTCGGACGGAAGAATCCATTCAAATTTCGGTATTCTTGATCCGAAAACTGGGAAAGTGGAACATACGGATTCCGTAACAGGAAGACAAGAGATAAAGCAAACTACAGCCGACCCGAAAACTGGCCACTTCATTCTTGCGACCGGTATTGTAGACCCGAAGAGTGGAAAGACAGATTCATCTCTTGCTCAGCAATGGTGTATTGTAGATAAAGATACAGTTAAAAGTACGCCCGAAAGACATATAAACTTAGTGATAGTTACCGCTAAATATGACCCTAAGAATAAAAAATTAGATCTATCGAACGCTCATGTCGACTCTGTTCCTGGAATTATTAAAGATGACGAGAAAGTTTATACAGAAAAAGGTATCATAGATCAAGGTACAGGTCAAGTCACTATTGTAGACCCTGCCACAGGAAAACATGAGGTTAAAAAGGCATCCTTGGATTCTAAAACCGGCAATCTGTTATTGACTTCTGGCGTTGTCGATCCTCACACAGGAAAAGTGAACTCTGATTTAGCCCAACAATTGACTATTGTTAGTGAAGACGTCGATAAAGTTCCTGCAATATCTGGCAGAAAAGTGCAACTTGTCGTTATTACTAGCAAATACGATCCAAAAACTAAAAAAATAGATAATCCTAATGGACACGTGCAAACTTTATCAGCTGTAATGTCAAACGATGGCAAAGTTTATTGTAATAATGGAGTTTTGGATCCAAAGACAGGCAAAATTGAACAAACTGATCCTAAGACTGGTAAACAAGAAACAAACCAAGCCATTTTCGATTCTAATACGGGACATTTTACTCTTGCTTCTGGTGTCATAGATCCCAAAACTGGAAAAATAGATTCTTCACTTGGACAGCAATGGTGTGTAATTGATAAGGAGTCTCCGAAAGAAGCTCCAGCTCGATATGTTAACCTGGTAATAATTACATCTAAATATGATCTAAAGAATAAGAAACTAGATCTTGCTAATCCGCATGTTGATACGATTTCTGGATATGTTGGTGCTGATGATAAAGTTTACACGGATATTGGCGTTATTGACCCGTCCAATGGACAAGTCACTTATATTGATTCTATAACACGAAAACAGGATATTAAAAAAGCATCAGTCGACCCAAAAACTGGAAATTTGTTGCTTACGTCAGGCGTAGCAGATCCACAAACAGGACATGTTGATCCAACTTTAGGACAACAATTAAGTATTGTTGAAAAACCAAAGGACACATTTGCTACAGTTCCCGGCAAAGAGGTGCAGCTTGTAGTGATTACAAGCAAATACGATCCGAAAACCAAAAGACTAGATAATCCGAATGGTCACATAGAAACATCACGAGGAATAATTGCAGCCGATGGAAGAATTCATTCTAATCATGGCATTGTTGATCCGAAAACAGGTAAAATTGAGCAAGTTGATCATAAAACTGGCAAAACAGAGATTAAACATGCTGTTACAGATCCTAAAACTGGACATTTAATTATTACATCTGGCGTTGTTGATCCAAAGACTGGAAAGGTGGATTCAACTCTTGCTCAACACTTAAGTATTGTAGGCAAAGATAGTAAACCCTTGCAAAGAGAAATTTATTTAATCATAATCACTACAAAATATGATCCAAGAACAAAGAAAATCGATCCAAATCAAGGAATTGTGGATACCGTAGCTGGAACAGTTTCATCTGACGGTAAAATTATGACGGAATTCGGTGTAGTAGATCCTTCGACTGGTGAAATTACAATTACTGATCCTGTAACAGGTAAAAAAGAAATTAAAAAATCTATTATTGATCCGTTGTCGGGACATATGCTGGTAACAAACCAAGTGGTTGATCCCAAGACAGGAAAAGTTGATCCAACATTGGTTCAACAGTTCAGCATTGTCAGTAAAAAGGTCGTTCCACATGCTAAACCGGCATCGAAAGGTGAAATCCGTCTTGTTATAATTACGGGAAAATACGACCCGCGTACAAAATCTGTGGATGCTGGTTCTGGAACGGTAGATACTTCCAAAGGCTTCGTTAGCGTTGAAGACGGTAAAATTCATACCGATTTCGGCATTATTGATCCAAGATCGGGACAGATACTATATAAAGATCCTGTCACGGGTAAACAGGAATTAAAGCAAGCAGAAATAGATCCACAAACTGGCAACTTCCTAGTGACCACTTCAGTAGTAGATCCATGTACTGGTAAAGTAGAACCTTCTTATGCTCAACAGCTAACGATTGTTGACAAACAAAATGTTTTGCCTAAAGCTGCACCTGTAACGCAAAGAACTAGTGTCTCCCCAGCTAGGCAAGTGGCATCTCCTATAAAGACTCCTACTCAGACATCTGTGCACACACCATTAAGTTCACCAGTAAAATCTTCCTCGCCCATTATTAGTAGTCAAGCTCAAAAAGCTTCGCCTATTACGTCAGTTGCACCGGTCAGTCCGAAAACATCACCTGTTAAACCCACGTCTGCACCTCCAGCACCGCCTAAGAGAAAGATTGTGAAAATTATGGTTATATTCGCTAAAGTCGATCCTAAGACAAAGAAACCAGATTTAAGTACAGCAGAAGTTGAACATGTAACTGGTATACTCGATCCGAATGGTCAGATTGAAACGAAGTATGGTGTCTTAGATTCAAATAAAGGTAACTTAGTTGTAAGTGATACAAACGGCCAGAGAAAAACAAAAGATGGTGTTGTATTCCCTGAAACTGGTCAAATATTTATACCATCTGGTGCAATAGACCCAAAAACTGGTAAAGCTGATCCAAATCTAGGAATGATATTGAGCGTCGCAAAACAGGATGACCCTGTAGTAGAAATTACAACTATAACAGGTCCGATTGACCCTAGGACGAGTAAAGTTGATATCGAGAATGGCTTTGTAGAGTATACTAAAGGAAAGGTTGATGCAGAGACCGGACACATTTCAACTAAATATGGTGTAATTGATCCTTCAAATGGAGTCATCTTTGTTACTGATACCTCAGGAGCTCAGGATACTAAACCTGTAGACATTGATGAAAATAATGGCCAAATTACTATTACAGGTGCTATCGATCCCAAAACTGGAAAGCTTGATCCAAAACTTGGTCAAGTACTAGTTGTTGGTACTCACATTGACCCAGTTGTTGAAGTAACTACATTTGTTGGAAAAGTTGATTCAAAGAAAGGTATCATTGAACCTAGGCATTCTGCAATTGAAAGCTCTACAGGACAATTTAATCCAGATAATAATAAGATTGACACTAAATATGGTCAGATCGACTTAGTTAAAGGCACTGTAACATACAATGATCCCAAGACGGGTAAATTCGAAAGTAAAGAATTAAACGTAGACCCAGTTACTGGACAATTTCTGCTTAGAAGTGGTCAGATCAATCCTAAATCTGGTAAACCGGACAAAGACATTGGCCGGTTAATTTGCTTAAGAATTATCCGGAATAAAGTTGACCCGGTTTCTGGCAAGCAAATTGTTTCCAATGATCCTAGAAATGTCAAAGTTGACCCGAAAACCAATCAAATTTGGATTGCGGGACCGAAAGATCCACAAACCGGAGACGTTATTTACACTGCTGGTCAAATTGATCCCGTTACTGGCTATATCATTACAATTTACGGACGTCTTGATCCTAAAACGGGAACCATAATTAGAACCACGGAAATTGACAAATCACTCATTAAAGTTGATCCGATTAATGGACAAATTTACACAGCTACTGGTGAAGTTGATGAAGACAATCAACCATTATATTCAGCCTCTCAAGTGGATCCAGGATCTGGAGAAATTTATACCAAGTTGGGTAAGATAGATGCTCGAACTGGTAGATTGATAATAATTAAAATTTATGTCATTACACAAAAGGATGAAAAGGGTCGTGTAAAGGAAGTTGATCCTCGAGAATGCACAATAGATGAAACAACCGGTAGAATAATAACAACAAAAACAGTCTACTTGTACCAAATCATCGATCCTATAACTGGGGAAACTATTGATGTAGACCCAGACGACCCGAGACTTAAAGGTGCGCGGACAACTGTAACACAAACTATGACGTTATCGGGTAAAATAGATCCAATAACGGGCAGAATAAAGACGGAGTACGGTGACATTGATCCAGATACTGGCGATATAGACCCTAGCACAGCTGTCCGAGACCCAGTTACTGGGCAGTTAATATTACATTATTCACAAATCGACCCATCTCACTTCGAAGATAAGAGTGGAAATTACACGATAGAGAAGGAAACGCAGGACCTTCCGGCGAACATTGATATCGAAACAGTGAACACGCACAAATTCTCAACATTCGGCAAGGACGAGAGCCCGGCACGAGGTGACGAACCTAAAACTTTCACAGAGTACACTACTAGTGAACACATTAGGCACCAGGGCTATGTCTCATCCAGCACCCCCCTTTCCTCAAAAATCCCAGTTTCACAGCGAACAAAGAAAACCCCAACTCCGCCTGTGGTTGTGAAGACGACGACAAAGCAACTCCTAACTAAGAACGAAGAGGGAGTGACTCATAACGTCGAGCAAGAGGTCGAAAACCTGGGAACTGGTGAAGTGACGTTCTCCACTCACACCAACAAGGTTCGTTTGATTCCTCTACTTACGATTCCAATAACAGGCAGTCGAGACGCCACCCTAATTCTTTTAAATGTTGATTTATTTAATTTTTTTTTGTTAATTCATTGCGTGGCCTTATTTTTTGTTGTTGTCAATGCTAACGCAATTTTCAAATTTTTGTTTTGCTAGTCACACTTGTATATAGTAAAAGCATGCTAGTTTAACCCTTAACTGTAGGCGGAAAGCCTAGAGCCGATGGAGGGAAAGAGTCCGTACGTAACGGCGCGAGCGGTGACCACTCGGACGGCAACAACTCACCACGATCTAGATACGAAGGCGAAAACGCAACAGATGGAAGAGAAAACCGTCGCACACACTCTCACTTCCTCTGCTACGAGGCAGGAGCAGCGTGTGTTGACACAGGAAGTCAAAACCATGGTTACTACCGGCGATCAGGTAATTCACCGTTTTCTTATATACACACTTTAGCATGTTTGTTTTCCCTTTCTACCATTTATATTTTTTTATTATTTTGCATTTCTTTGCTGGGATTTTGCATCAAAGATACAAGGAAGCAGCCGGTTGGCATGCTTGCACGATTATTTCTGTTTGCCCAACATTTAGACTTCAGTGATATCGCAACATTATACGAACAACCTGAAAGCACTGTGGCCAGTTAATTAATAAATCACCGTAATAATGAATTCATGCATAATTTATTTTCATTTCTATTTCGTTTTTTTAATTTACTCTTTAACCTTTTGGTCTTAACATGGACATGACAAGCATTTCAAATCTTTTTCTCTGTATGATTTACCAAAGCATCAAACTTGGGCATTACCTTATAATTTAACAGTTCCGTCATCATAATTTTAACCTGTGTTTTCTATCCTCGTTTAAATTAATTTCGGTACATAACAACGTTTCACATCGACCCTCATCGTAACGGAATCGTACGCACGGCAGCTGACTAGACGCGGCTCAGAAAGTTCGCTGAGCAGTGGTGACTCGGGTACGCCGATCGACTTCGAGGAGGGCGGGGAAGGTGCCTACTATGTCACCGTGAGTATTTTTGGAGGGGGGAAAAATTTGTTTCTGTCTGTTTTTAATTGTTCATTAAAATTGTTGAAAAAATCTAAGGATTGTTAACAGACAGAGATAAATCTTATCCTTATTATGTCTAACACTTGAGCAATGTTGTTCATTTTACACGTTGAAATTTCTGAAGCCACTACGTTTATTAATGACGTACTTAAGGAAAGACTGGTAAAAATGTGAGTTTCAAGTTACGTTTTTTGATATGTATCCATAGACGTGTTCGTAGCATGAATTGTATAGAATTCACCGACCTTAATATTAGTCGTTGTTAGTCATTACGACGGATGTATATAAAGATGAATGAGTCGGTCAACTAAAAACGACTAATATTAAAGTGTTACTTTAGTTGTTTCGAATTAAAAGCGATGTTAGAAATCAGAAAGGGTTCAAACCGTTCAAAACAAAACACAAATATGTTTTGTTTTTTTGTTTGATCATGTTTAATGTATGTATGTTAAAAGCCTTCACAGTACAGGAGAAAATCCTGCTGTGTGATTAACATTAATTTAAAGAAGATTCTCTAAGAAAGACTGGGTCGCTTTTAGTTCAGAAATAGTACAGTGCATCTTGTCTATGCATGAGAAATTTGAATTCGAATGATGTTTTAAAATTGTGTGTGAAGTTACTTTAATTTTTTTTTAAATAATTTTCTAAAATAATGTTAATAAATTATCATTTTGTTTCACAGACTAGAAGTTATTTTAACATTTTTTTATTGAAATATAAATACTGAAAAATATAATGTTGAATAAAGAAATAAATGTCTGAAAATGAATTCGCTTCTGAGATTGGAATTAATTTTAAAATAATTGGCTTGAATTTACAATGAAAAAAAAAAAATGTAGGTAGGCCTGTACCTTGTGGAGGACCTTAACTTTTTTTACTTTTACTGAATAGTCTCTGTACTTCTATAGTTTATGAGCTACTGGATAACATTACGACTTTTATATCTTTTACATATATTTTAGTAAAATAGAAAAGAATTGTATAAAATCCCCTTTAAAAAAAGATTAGATATATATTTCATTGTTTAAATTTAAGACGTGAAAAACATAAACGAAGTTAATAAACCAAAACACTGTCGATTAACATTGTTTATTATATTATTAAAAAAAAATGTTTTTAGTATTGCCAGTTTAAAAAGTAAATTTAAATTCCATTGTAAATATAATAAACTTTCAATTTTAACAAAGTGATGTTGATGAACAACAAGAGTGAAGTTGTTGAACCAAAACACTGTGCTTACAGGAACCCGGTACATATCGAACCACTACCACGAGCACGGTTATGGGGAATGCGCCATTCGGCAGCATGGTGCACGGATCTACCACCAGGGTAAGAAATTATTAAATATTCATTTTTTTGTCATAACCATAAACACAGGCCTGTCACCCAGAGGGGTAGGCAGAGAATTCGGACTTCCATATGGAACGATCCTGAGACATCTCTCGCCTCCTTTACATCCATATACATACGCTCGTCGGTTAAGGGTACTCTTAACCGACGAGCCTGGCCCATCTTCAATATATCGCCAATTAACTTTCTTTAGGGCGTGTCTTGCTGACTCTACTGTTCACTTCTGCAACATACATTTGATTTATCACTGTTGCCTCTTTCAATTATTTTTTTGTTTTTGGTAATATTTTTCAATTCTGTCGCACTGTATCGTGGCTGTTTAAATCTCTCATCTCGTTTCGTGTCTAGAGTGGTGCAAATGTCGACTATAAGAAATATAGAATTGATCTTGTGGTCTCTGGCTGACGAAAGAATAACCATCTTCAACGAAAGAAAAGAATAACAAACTCGAGTTTGAACTGAAACTATACAATGTCCAAATTTTGATTTTTTTTTATAATACCCTTATTATGACAAAGGAGCACACTGTCCACCTGAGGGTAAGAGGATGCTGTGGCCCACGACATGTTCACGTTTAACATTCTCGATTAAGAGTCAAAAGGTAGATGCGTTGTCACCCCTGTGAACTAAGTTGTAATGCCTCGTTTCCAGTAAAAAGGGTCTCCAGTTCTCTACACTCACCATACAAAACACAGCAGCGTTAAGCTGCTATTTTACGCTGATATTCTGTGAGAGCGTGGTCCTTCCCCGGTTCGACCTATTCGTGATACAACTGTAGATCTAAATAATATATATTTTTTAAAAACCTTACCCCCACACTAGGATTTTCTCCTGTATCGTGGAGGCAGTTTACAAACCCAAATTGCACAAGGACACACATACAGACCCGGAACAATTATTTGTAGGCCATACAAATACTTGTTCCGTGCGGGATTCGGACCCGCGGCCCCCAGCGCAGCAACTCATTGCTAAGCCACTGCGCCACGGAGCCGTCAGCCATATTATGTTACACATTTCATTCATTCATAAGAGCATATCATAGTCATAGGCTTTTCCTGCGATAGCCTCATGAGGAGGATATTTTTTTATAAGTGCCACGCTGGGCAGGCTCATCACTTGTTTCACTTCCCTCTGTCGCATCTTACGACTCTCACGAGATGATATGGGTTAGTGTTTTTTTAATACCGTCACTACATTGAGAACTGCAATACTCAAGTATTGGGCTACAGATATTTTACTCTGGTATCATGCTTCCTTTGACTGTACTTTTGTCCTCATATTTGACAACGCATCTGTAGTTTGATTCTTCATCTATATCTATACATATAATAAAACTGTAAATAGGAGATGTCTGTACATTTTATATTTTTGTAATAAAAGTGATTGAGGGGTACTAAAAATAAGTAATTAAATACATTTCTACCATTTTTAGAATTTTCTGTCTGTCTGTCTGTCTGTCTGTCTGTCTGTTTGTTTGTTAACGTATCACGTATAAAGTACTAATTTATATCATAAGAATTGTTAAGAAAACTATAAAGTGTATCTTCGGGTTACATTTAGTCTTTATTTCATTAAAATCAGTTCATTCCATCAAAAGTTATGATAAATATTCTGAAGTATGGGTAGGGAAGTATAGGTACGAATTTGCTCAACGGTGGCTTTGTTTGAGTCATCAAGTGCATTTTAAACTAATATCATATCATAAATCATAGTTAAATTATGTAAAATAATGATATAATTATGTATATCTAAAACGCAGTAAACAAAAGTATTAAAGAACGTATTAAATATATTATACAAAAATATATTAACCTTATTAACTAAATCTGAAGCACAATAGTTTTCCCATTTCTTCGATAGATGGTGGTGTTGTGAAAATGTAATGCAATTGCAATGTGGTTTTGTCCTGTAGATGAGTTTTCATATTTACTGCTAATCTTTATTATATTACTCGCTGCCCTACTGCGTGTTGACAAACTCAATTTATTCTTTACCGCCGAGTACTCTATGTGGTAAATCAAATTTTAAAAGAGCTATTAACAATTGCGTTGGTTTTGGCGAGAGTCAAACTTTATTTTTTGCTTACTGTGCAGGCACTGATTTATAAGTTCTCTTGCATTTTATATAATGTATCAATCGCGTCAATTAATCTCTTTTATTTTTAGAATTGATGTTAGCAGCGCCATCTCTCTTTAAATATATACATATAATAAAAATGATGATAAACTCTTTCTGTACATTGTATATATATATTGGTGGCTAAAATCATTATGGGGAACTGAAAATAATTAAATAAGAACATTTTATAATTTTTAGAATTGTCTGTCTGTCTATTTGTCTGTTATTATATGAACGCATCACGTCTAAAGTAAACATCTTTTATTTTCAAAGAAATCGTTAAGAAAATCATAAAGCGTATCTTCGAGTTACATTTAATCTTTGTTTTATTAAAATTGGTTAATTCTATCGAAAGTAATGATTATTATTTTGAAATGTAGGTTCAAATTTATTCAATAGCGCCATAAAATCTCAGAAATAGTAATAAAAAGATTTGTGTGTAAAAAAAAAAACGTTCCATAATAATTAATATATTTATACTTAAAACACAAAAAGAGATTTAAAAAGGATGTTTTCTCACACAAAGGACGTAAAAGATGGAGTTGTACAAATTACAAACTTTTCTGAATTGCTGTGTTGCGATTTTTCGCCGATGAATCGTATTGAGACTTACTGAAGAAATTTGTATCCATCGAAGCCATACAACGGAACCCGACCAAAAATAAAAATTTTGCAACGAAATGTCGTGATATTGTATTTATAATATACGCAAAATCAGTACTGCCATTTTAGCGCTTTGGGAACTAGATTTAGCGCTTTTTTGGAATGTATAGCGCGCATTTCGAAATTTTAGCACCTAGCTTAATCCAGCGCTTTTTGGTGTATTTAGCACACATTTCAATATTTTAGTGACTAGCGGGTTATTAACTCTTTTATAGCAGCACTGTTAGTCTACATTACCGATAATAATAATAATGACCTTTATTATTTTTTCCCACAAATAGTACATTGCAGTTATATCTTTTTCAAACATATTTTTTCCACAAAACAAAGAGCATGGGAGACGAGTCCAAACTAGGATACCCTGTGCTATGGATCTCCTGGCTTCCCCTTTAGGATGATCAACTTGATTTTTTTACCGACGACTATAAGCGGGGAAATCCCCTTTATTAAAGTTTTCGTTCATGGTTTTGGCTAAGTTAAAAGTTACTTAGAAGTTATAACACAAAGAAACTGTGTAGCAACCGCAATCAGATGCTGACATCTGAAACTAAGTTGCGAAATACATTGCACTTTAAAACAATTAATGACATTTTTATTGTTCGTACAGTACTAACTACTGTTGACAGCAATTGCCATAATTATATGTCGATGTCCTGCGAAGTATTGATACACCAAAAAAATATTGCCAGAAAAAAAACTTAATGTTGTTTTCTTTATTATGATTATATAAAAAAACACAAACTTTGTTTGTAGTTAATTTAGCGCGAAATCTAGGGCTTTTTTAAAGCGCTGTTTTCATGAAATCTAGCGCTTTTTGTGTTGTTCTAGAGCTGAATGAGTGTTTTTTTATCTGGCAGCACTGCCCAAAAACCCTCTATTAAGAAGTAACTTTCCTTTCAGTTTTAAGCGCGTTCAGTTCCCAGTTACAGTGAGCGTGTGTTATGCGATGACCGTAAATAAAGCGCAAGGTCAAACTTTACGCGTTGTAGGAGTGTACCTCAGTACTGACTATTTTGCACATGGCCAACTCTATGTTGCTTTTTCCCGCGTTAGTAGCCCCCGTAACCTTTTTGTGTAGGTACACCCCGGCTAAGCCTACTTCTAACGTCGTTTGCACAGAAGCTCTATCATAAACGACTTAGAACTTTGATGATAATGATTTATTTAGTTACCACTTATTGTTACAGTAATGAAATAAATCGTTTAATATTCTCTTACCTAAACGACAAATTCTTTATGTAAAACCTGTATACGCGAGCTACGCCGCGGGCACAGCTAGTCTATAATAGAAATAAATGTCTATGGGCCGCAGCATTCACATTCACTATCAGTTCGGAATGTTCGTTTGTCACGCTTATACAAAAATGTTTAGTGTAGGAAAACAGTTATTTTTTCACATTAATATCCGTTCTTTTACTTATATTTAATGTGTGTGCTTTTACTATATGGTGGCGGTGTAAGAATATTTACTTCGCTATATCATCCCGTGGGTGTCGTAAGAGGCGACAGAGGGAATCAGGAGATGGGCAGCAGCGTCTTGCTAATAAGGAATAAAAATAAAAAACTGCGATTTTATCTCGCTTACCAAGCGTGGCAACTATGACAGATATCCCCCCTATGAGTCATGGCATGGTCTCGTATACAACATTAAAAAAGTGAATACGTGGTCTTTAGGGTCGCCGGCAAGTGTACCCAATCTATCCCTGCAATAAACTTAAATGGATCGTAACGAAAACGGATTTATCAATTTAAATACCTAGGGCATATTCTTGCCGACGACCTTAAAGACGATCTAGACATAGAGAGGAAGCGTAGGGCTTTGGCGGTACGCGGCAATATGCTGGCTCGTAGACTTGCCCGCTGTTCGGACCAGGTGAAAACAACATTATTTAAAGCGTAGACCCTGGCAGTCTGTACGCGGGTGATCTGTGGATTAGGTATGCCAAAAAATCGTTAAACACCCTGCGAGTCCAGTACAATAACATTTTCAGGATGATGTAGGCACTCCCCCGCTTCTGTAGTGCCTTCGGCATGTTTGCACAGACCACGAACTGATGGTTTTCACGCCGTAGTTCGGAAAAAAGTAGCGCCGCTGATAGGAAGGATACGGAGAAGTGACAACAGCATCCTGAGAACGTTGGCAGATGATCCGCATGCGCCTATTGTGAGGCACTTCGTGCGAACGATGACTCATACAGTGGATGGTAATTCTTCTGGGTGTCGACCGCACGGAGTGCCTCTTAGGTACATGACAAATTAGAATTTAATTTAGTCTAATTTTATTTTGATTTAGTTTGATGCAATTTAATTCTAATATAATATTATATAATAATATAATTTAATTGAATTTTTTCAAAACTAACACTTAGTTTTTGAATGTAATACTAACCTTAATCTTTGTTGTCTGAAAATAAATGAATTTGAATTTGATATGATGCAATCTATGGAGGAGGCATATGTTCAGCAGTGGACTTTAATAGGCTGTTACCGTAATATCTATGCTTAAGTTTAAGACCGTGAAACGTACCGGTCTCAGTGACGGTTGTATTGGTTTCTTAATTTTGAATGTGTGTCCTTTTGGGTTGCAGACCAGCACGGGTCCCCAGATAACGGAGACGAAAGATGAGGGTTCGGGCGAGTGTACGGTCGAAGGGGGTGAAGGTGAAGTCGTCTCCTCGCAGACCATCAGCTCCAAGACGCGCACCGTCGAGACCATCACCGTGAGTGCCATTTCCTACTACCTAACTACCCACACCCTAATTTCTTATATTTACGCATACACTACACATCGAATTAATTTACTTAGCGTTTGAAAATGAGTTATATTAAATGCGATAGATTGCGTTTTTTATCTTTAATTAATTTTTTGTTTTATCTCCATGCAATATCAGGTTTGAATTTATAAATGAAGGATGTATCCGATACTAATACCGATATAGATATATCGGTGACTGCCTTCTTGGTCTAGTGGTTGTAAACGCGGTTTCCGATCATGAGGTCCTGGGTTGGAATCCCGGGTCGCGCCAAAATCAGTTATTGGGTTTTTCTGTCAACAAATTCTCAGTAGCAGACCGGAGTCAGGAAGTTGACGGTGTCTCACCCCCGTGCCTCGGTAAGCACGTGAAGCCGTTCGTCCGTCGCCTGATCTCTCTCCGGTCGAATCGGTTTGTCGTCCCATTGGACTATTAGAGTGAGGGAACAAAGAGTGCACCTATGCTCGGACACTATAATCTTGCCCTGCGCAGATAGCTAGCCTCCAGTGAGGTTGGCTGCCGTGACCGAATTTCAATCCGGAGAACATTAGCGGTGATAATTTGGATTTGCCGATATATATATGCATGGTTATATTTATTTTGCGATGTTGTTGATAATCTTAAATAAATAAAGCAACGGGTGCAATGATTGCTGATTGATGTCAATGTTACTTTTATAGAAAAAAAGGATCTCGGAGTTTAAAAGCAGGCTGAATTCTTCTTTCTAGAGTTCTCGTCAAGTCTTGATTTTAGAACAAGTTGTATTTATATTTTTGGTGTCCATAAAAACTTAAAAAGAAAGACTAATTGTCATAATAGTTCAAACTTTTGCCTAATAGTTACTTTTTAATCAAGTATTTTTAATTTACTGGGGGTAGTTAAAAATAGTTATCTTAATAGCGTTGCTATTTGTCTTTTAATAAAAACGTTACAACTGTAAGTTTGTTTGTACCGCAGTACAAGACGGAGCGTAACGGTGTGGTAGAAACCCGCGTGGAACAGAAGATCACCATCCAGTCCGACGGCGACCCCATCGACCACGACCGAGCGCTAGCCGAGGCCATACAGGTGACGCACGCACACACACATGCACGCACACATACACTCACACATACACACACTTATATGTACACTACACACACGAACGTGATACGTTTTATAACGTTGTAGCACGAATGCGGTGGCACGACCGAGGAAGGGCCACACTCTCATAGGATACCAGCGTAAAATAGCAGCTTAACGCTGCTCTGTTTCGTATGGTGAGTGTAGAGAACCGGAGACCCTTTTTACTGGATACGAAATACTTATACTTTCCATACTAGCCTTTACGGTTAACAACGCATCTGCATTTGGATTCCTAATAGAGGATAGATGTAGATATCTCTGGGCCACAGCGTGCTACCACTATCAGGTGGACTGTGTGCTCGTTAATCACCCTTATTCTTTGACGGCTTCGTGGTGTAGAGCCTTAGCAACGAGGCACTGAGGGTTGCGGTTTCGAATTCCGCGCGGAACATGTATTTGTATGGCCTATAAATAATTGTCCTGGGTCTGGATGTTAGTCCTTGTGAAATTTATGTATGTAAACTGCCTAGACGATTCAGGAGAAAATCCTAGTGTGCAGGTAACGTATATATATATATATATATATATATATATATATATATAAATACATCTTGTTGATCTTATTATGACCTTGGTTATTGCGGCATCTACTCGCAGCCATAAACTTTACAGCTTTTTTCTAACAGTTTTTTTTTAATGAATTCTTTGTCTACCCGATATATTTGTGGGTGCGCAATTTTTTCAAAAACTACAAGACCAATTTGATAATTCGATACTTTCACTTGGCTAGTGAATATACTTCTGGGAAAGTCTTAAGTATATAAAATAATAAGGTCCTCAACTTTTAAATCAGTTTATTAAAAAAAAAAACTATAAGCGTTTCATTCATATATCATTGTGACCCTCACGAAAAACGAGGATAGATATAGATGTCTATGAGCCACAGTAACCACTTACCATCAGGTGGACTGTGTGCTCACTTGTCACCCTATGCTATAAAAAAAAGCAAAGCACAGCAAAATTTGACAAACAGCCCTAAAATATTGATGTTAATTTTTTTAACTTATTATAAGAAAGTGTTCTTATTATAAGAAATCCCTCAATGGTAAGTGGTGATGCAGCCCTAGATGGTAGATCGCACTGTCTTATCGTAACAAAAGCCTATTCACTCTTGCTTTGAAGACGCCCAAATTGTATTCGGATGGAAAGATAGACAGACGCCGGCAAATTATTCCACTCCTTCGCTGTACGCATTACAAAAGACGAAACAAATACAAATCATATTACTAATGTCAAACACGGTACAACAAAATAAGCTTACTTGATTCTGAGGCCATAACATTTAGAAAATATGCTGAAATTATTCAATTGTTAAACCCACAGGAGGCCACAGCGATGAACCCCGACATGACGGTAGAAAAGATCGAGATCCAACAACAGAGCACGCAGCCCTAATCGCGCATAACGTGCCGCCATTTTGTTTTACTGTTGCATTCACAAAATGGCGTCGAAAAGATTACTACGGTAAAGTTCATTAAGTTGATCTTTAAATTGTAACATTAATTCTCACAAAACCGAAAACATAATTTCTGTATATAATGAACGCCATTTTGTTAACGTCGCAATGAAACAAGATGGCGGAGTGTTTATAATTTGTATGTATATGGAGTTTGCATACATTTAAAGTAGTTGTAAGTGGCATCACTGCGAATATTAATTAAGTTATTTAATTGATGAAACGTTATATGATTGATTAATGAGGGCTAATAATATTACGCTCACCAGATGTCGCCAGTTAGAACTGAGGTGAATTTATTTTTCACACAGATAGTCACACAATGTCATCATCATTGAAAAAATTGCGTTTAAAATAAAAGCTTCAGTTTCTAGTGTATGTATATACACAAAACAATACCTCAGTGGCTTGTTCCTTTATTTTCTTATACTTATTTAAGATTATCTGTAGTTTGGTTTATCTATTTCTAAAGTAATTAACGAAAAAAGATAACTAATATTTCAGAAAGGAACATTAATCTTTACACTTTTCTAAAAATTGTACTTTCCTGCCATGAGATATGTTAAATATTTCACCTCATTTCAAAGTGGCGCCACCCTGGCAGAAAAATTTGTGGATGCTCTCATTATCTATTAATTGATTTATGTGGAGTTGATGATGTTGTGGAGGAAACGCACTTTGACGAGTAGGTTTTTTTACTTTAAGTATAATTATTGTATCGCGAAAGGAAGAAATACGATTGGCATTTTTATAAGATTAGTTTAAGTCAATACAAAATAGATCACTCGGGAATCCTGTTTCGTAAATGTTGCCATAGTGAAAAAAGTGTTCGTGTTAAAGTAAATTCAATCTACGTATCGATTTTTCTCGATACGGGATAGCTTTAAAACATCTCGCACGAGTTAGACCACCGTTATTTATAATAAAAATTATTTTTCTCTTCACCTTATAATCTCAAATTGCGACAATGTAGCACGGGACTAAAGCTCGACAGGGTTTTCACCTTAAAAGTATAATTGACCACTGATATTACAAAGATATAACTTTTTAAATTGGGGTAGCCCAGTCGGGCGCTACAGAATTATATGTTAAGAAATTATATTTATGAACATGTTGCTATAATCTATTTCTAATATATTTCACCATTAGGTGCTATTATTTAAGCTGAAATTGATATATTTAATGTCTTGTGTCAGTTATTTATCGTCAACAAAAGGACGAAGGAAGCTGTGCCATGCAGTCTTGATTTTGTCTAATATAGAAGCTTCTGCAAATGGAACAAATCAAAATAATTTGGAATGTTGATGATTCCATAAAGAATTCGCTTAGTTGGTCGATGTATAGGGTAAACACAGATAGTTAAGGCCAGTTGAGTATTTCGTTTGATATAATAAACGTGAGCACAATTTACTTGAAATTTAATGTGTTTAAATTATAAACGGTTTGTTGAAAATTTACACAAAAAAAGAAAAATGGTACGTCACGTAATAAATGATCATCGCATTCTGTACAACCAGACATTCCAATATACCTGGTGAATGGTTCACAAAAGTCTAGTGATAATGCTAGATCGACACAAAGTGTTTATTTCTCTCTATGTTTTATTTCAATGTTTAGATATTATCTACGTACATGTTATCCGGAGCCGATAGAGTGTAATCTGTGGGCGGCATGAGGCGCGATATATTTTTATCTGTGCGCTGACATTTTTTTACAAAATGTCCTTTGGAAATTCCCTGATATCTTTGTAAGTATTTTAACTATAAAGTTCGTGCTGTTTGATTTATTTTTAAATAATTTTGATATTTTTATGTAATTAAAAATGTATTAACAATGTAATCCAAATGTTTCCAACAACTGCCTTGTTCTGGAAATCATAAGCGTTGCATATCGCTTCGCTTTTATTTCGTTAGTTTGGAGAACAGAAATATTTACTAATTGTTAACTAGTTCTGGGGTTTGCATGTGCCCACACATTAAACCCTATCCTTCGCTTAGTGGACATGATATTGTAAAATTATATTAATATATTTCTTAAATATGCTAGAATTAAAAGTTTTTGTAATACAATAAGTTTGCGTAATACTATAAAGTTATTGACGCTGATTTTGAATCAGAATTTATTTGTAACGTTTTTGTCATTATTGATGTTTTTTTTTTATAATTTTCACATTCTATTACTTATTAAATGTTCAGACATACAGCTTATCTGTTTCATGACAAGGTTGATATTTTCAATTTATTTTTTATCTCCTTTTGTATAACCTTACATGTTTTAAGGTTCGATTAAAGTGGGAAAAGGTTTACACGTTCTATGTCTAAAAACGTAATTTTTAATCTTGTAGCATTAGTCTTAAGGCCCGTTTCCCTTTGATCGCATACCTCCGAATTGTGTTTTTTATTATATTTATTGAAGATGTTTATTTTTCTATGAGTCCCGATTTTGTATTATTTTATTTGAGAAGAAAAGTAAAGAAGTAACGGACATTACAATAAAGATGCTTTGTTTTATTTATATTTGTTTTATTTTACTATAATAATAATTTACTCATAAATTATACGTAGTAGAGTCACGTTGCAGCTATGTTAGCTATTCATAAGCTGTAGCACAAATGGGTCGGATTGACCGGGATAAGACCACACTCTCACAGAATTCCAGCGTGAAATAGCAGAACAATGCTGCTGTGTTTCGTATGGTGAGTGTAGCGAACCGGAGACCTTTTTTACTGGATAGCAGGTATTCCATCTTAGTCCTCAGTGGTAACAACTCATCTAAATTGATTCTTAATCAACGATATATTTACGCATCTACAACAGCATCCATTTACCAACAGGTGAGAGTTATGTGTTCCTTTGTCATTCTTATTCTGTAAAAAAGTGGGAAGAAGTATCTTGCCGCCACTCTGACACACACCGTTTTACTTACTGACTTACAAAGTACAAAATCAACTTCCATTCCATTCTGGGTTTCACTTCGCTCGTCTCTGCTTCAGTTTCGCTGTTCTCCACTCCGCAGTAGAAACCCACTTGTTATGAAAGCATGATGCAACAAATAAAAAACTTTCCAATGTTGGCATTAGGGACTCCAGCACCCCATCTATATCCGTGGGTGTATCTAATGGTGGTGATGTAGATGTGAAATATTAAGAAGTGTGTCTTATATAGAAGACTAACGATCCGCCCTTGCTTCGCACGGGTGATTTCTGGATCTCGGCAACAGCGCTACCGGGTCCAATTATTAATCGTTTAGATCCGACCCATTCAAACGCATACCAAGAATTTCATCAAAATCGGTCCAGCCATTTTCAAGTTTTTGCAAGACGGACGGACGGATTTTTAACGGACATCAATTAATTTTTATATATATAGAGATAAATGAGGGTAGGCCTTACTTCATTAGTGGGACGCATATCTAAATTATTATTTATAATAGGAAGATAATTTCTTATAAATGAAACAACACAGTTATGGGTTAAAATTGTATTTGGTAATAGAGAAAGACTATTATATAGCTCTAACGGTTGCAAACCAAGTTTCTGCGTCTCTTCTAGTACTTAGTACCTATATATTACTTCTATGTGTGGAATAACATTTATGCGAGGAATAAGTGTCAAGTCTTGTCGCGTAAGATCTCATATGCAGACGATTCGCTATCCGAATAAGGTGCCGATACTCTGCAGCAGTCCAGGCTGGTCGCGGTAGCGTAACCCGTCATCCCCGAGTCCGTAAGGCAACGTTCCTCGCGTTTGCAGGTAGAACTGACCCCGCGTTTCCGGTGTGGACCCTTCGCCCATGTAGCTGGAAAAAAACGATCCATGTGGATTTTTTAATAATTTATAGAAATACTACCAATGCTTTTGACATTAGTAATATTCCCTTTAAATGCGCAACCACTCATGGTAAGCTTAAAATGTTTGAAATAATTAAACATTTTGTACTGCCGACTTCAATATAAGTTATTAAGAATAACTCAATAGCTATTGGTCTGACCTTGATCAAATTCGTGATGGCCTTGATCATATGGGACCACACGAGAAGTATCAGCTTTCAAAAAAAAAGAACCAAGTACTGCGGTCACCAACCCGCATACCAAGCGAGATAACTAGGCAAATCTTCCCCTTAAAAGGCAGTCTGTCCCATAGATGGCGTGGAAGTGGACTTTTAATATGCTGTAATAAGTGAGGTGAGGCATTTCATAATAGAGTAGGAAGATAGTATAGCGCTGGTAAGATTCTTATGTTAGTCTAATGTCAGTATAGCTGATGAAGATGAATGACGTAAGTAATATACTAAAAAGCTCAATTTTTTCAAATAATCGTTTAGGAAGGTTGGACAAACAGTCGTATTTGAGACACGATTTAGACGCGCGAGAATTTATACTTCTAGAAATAGTGTATGCTGTGTATTAAGTGTATACAAATTATTACAGCACTGATCTAAAATAATTCAAACTATATACACAGATATTTACATGGTCATATGCGCATACATACATGCTAAGTCCCAAAACAAGAATTTAATCTTAAAATCTTTAAAAAAGATATTTCTTAATAACCAATCACAGCACGAGGAGCTTAGGCCCCCATCCGCTGTCGGCATGCTCCGCTGTCGCTATCTTTCTCGCACTTATGGCTACGCATAAAACTTTTTTGTCGTATTCATTTGTAAACTTTATTCACGTCTGGGAATTAGTTAAAACCGCTAAATTCGTCTGGTGATTTGCAGGTATTATTAAAAATTACTCAAATTCAAATTTTCAAATTCAAATTGTTTATTGCATGTCACATTACAAATATAAGATGTTACATTTGATAGGTATACATGTGACGCCCTGCAAGGGCATAGCAACACTAGAGGACTAACTATTTATGTATAATCTAACTTTTAAACATAAATTATAAAATATCATATCGTCAACATTCAATATTATTCTATATAAATTACTTAAATTAGAAATATAATATAGTCGATGTATTCTTTCTTTGTCATTATTTATCGTCAAAAAATTCTTTCAAAGTATAATAACATTTATTAATAAGGAATGTTTTTAATTTTTTATTAAATTGCGCAGGGTTTTCTAGGATTTTTATAGAATTCGGTAAATGGTTATAAATCTTTATTGACATAACGTGGGGGCTAGTCGAAACTAATTTTAGTTTGGAGAAGGGTATCCTAAGCTTATATAAATTTCTGTTATTTCTTTTAGTTATTGTAATAGGTGAGTACAATTTTGGGTGTTTCCTGACGAATTTACAAGACTCGAGGATGTAGATAGATGTAAGTGTTAGTATTTTATATTTAATGAAGTGAGGTTTACATGATTCCATTTGGTCTAAATTCGTTAATATTCGTAGACACTTCTTTTGTGATATAAATAATTTGTTTACATCACAAGAGTTTCCCCACAATACGATCCCATAGGAGAGTACCGAATGAGCATATGCATAGTAAGCCGCAAGGGCAGTCTTAAAATCTGTCACACGTTTGAGGTATTGTAGAGCGTAAATAAAAGAGGATATTTTTTTTACAATTTTTTGTATGTGCTGTTTCCAACTCAAATGCGTATCCAGGTCTATTCCTAACAAAGTAGCAGAGTTAACAGTTTCTATTCTTGTGTTTTTATAGCTATAAGATATTTGTAAAGCAGTTTTTTGGTAGGGTTTAAATTGAATAATTTTAGTTTTATTAAGGTTAAGTTGTAGATTATGTAATTCTAGCCAGTTAGTAATTTTATCTAATGTATAGTTCAATTTTGTTGTTAAATGCGTGGAATTAGTGCAAGAGATTAAGATGGAGATGTCATCGGCAAAGAGCACGCATAGACATAGATCGTCCAGTATGTTCGGGAGATTATTTATGTAAACAAGAAACAAAATGCATCCCAAAACGCTACCTTGTGGGATAGAACCAGTAATAACAGTTGCATCAGATCTAATATGTGTAATTTTGCCAGTCTCGAAATCGGTATTTTCAATTTCTACATATTGAAAGCGGTTATCAAGATAGGATTTAAACCAATTGTGAGCTACTCCCCTAATTCCTGTTTGATATAGTTTATCCAATAGTGTTCTATAACAAACTCTGTCATAGGCTTTACTCATGTCGAGCAAGAGGCCTACTGCGAATTTTTTATTGTCGATTTCGTCTAGAATGTTTTTTACGTATTTATAAATTGCTAAGGTGGTAGAGTGGTCTTTTCTAAAGCCATTTTGGTTTTCATGTAAAATTTTAAATTTTTCATAAAATGAACAAAGACGTTTTGCCATGGCCGATTCAAATATTTTAGCCGACGTAGGTAACAGAGCTATGGGTCGATAATTATTTATGTCCGTAAGTTCACCCTTTTTATGCACGGGTTTAATTAGAGATATTTTGAGGGCATCTGGGAAGACACCTTCTAAAAAAGATTGATTTACTAATATTGTATACGGCATTGTTAACAAATCAGCACAGCTTTTTATCAAAGTAGGAGTAATTTCATCATTACCGAAGGATGATTTATTTTTGAGATTTTTTATTATGGTATTAATTTCATTAGTTTCTACTGGGCTCAAGAAGAGAGTATTTTCGCTAGTTTTTGCTAAAGATGTTCTATTTAACTTACTGTAATTTGAGTGTATATTTCCAATAGATGTAAAAAAAGTATTACTTAAATGAGTTCGCTACTATTTTAGGATCACATAATAAACGTTTATCTGGTGTTTTGAGTTTCACATTTCTATATTTTCTTGTGTTATTGTTTGTCTCATTACTTATAATCTGCCACATAGTTTTAGTTTTATTTTGAGAATTTTCGTATTTATATTTGTTACATAATTTTTTGGATATATTGATGGCTTTTTTTAATATTTTACAATACTGTTTATAGTGATATTTAACATTTTTATTATTGGTTTTACAAACCAATAGCTTTAAAAATCTTTTATATTGACACGATGTCTTTAATCCTACTGTTAAATAATTTTTCTTTGGTGTATTTTTTATTTTTAATAGTATTTTTGGTATACATTTATTTAAAGCTCTTTGTAAGATTTCACTAAATATACTATAATTTTCATTTACATTTTTATTAGGTTTGAGTATATCATTCCAATTTATATTGGAAATTTCATTTTTGAATTTAGATATATTTAAATCGTTGTATATTCGTTTATATAATAAAAATTGCTTTAGGTTTTGTGTTGAAGAGTAGAGAGTAGGAGTTTGTGTTTCAATAAATACGTGACTAAAATTCAAGATTGCCAAAAGTATATTCTTTGGGAATTTATAAAAATATATTTTTGGACAGATCTTGTAATACTTTATAACCGACAAAAACGTCTGGGATTATTTTTTTTGGAATTATATAAAAACTAAAAGATAAAAAAGAAATCAAGTTGCCGCAAAAACATTTTTTTGTAATTTTTTTGCAAATGTTATGTAATGCGCAGTGACGAAATAACCGCAAACGCTCTGACAGACTCGCGGGACTGGATTCGCCAATTGACGAAATTATATTTTTTCACAATTTCAACTTGCTCAAAGGACCTTCCCAAAATTCGTCGCCAGCTTTCAGACTATATGAATGCAACAGAAAATTGAGGAAATCCTCACCTTAATTTAGTAGATGTATGAACATGCAAGGACGGCTATTGAATCCAGTTTAACTGATTTTTTTTTAATAGAATAAGGGTGACAAACGAACAGATAGTCCATTTGATGGTAAGTGGACGCTGTGGTGAAAATACGTCTACATTTACCCTCCATAAAGACTCAAAATGCAGTTGCATTGTCACCCCTGAGGACTAAGATGTAATGCCTCATTTCCAGTAAAAAGTGTTTTCGGTTCCCTACACTCACCATACGAAACACAGCAGCATTAAGCTGCTATTTTACACTAGTATCTATGAGAATGAATGAATGCCGTTTGGAATACCTACTCCTAGGCTGAAATGGAGGACGATATAATAAATCGAACCTGATTTCGTCTTCGCAGTCTCCGTCCTTGAAGGCCTCCCAGTCCTTGCACTTGAGCGCAGGGAAAGCCCGGTTCTCGAGCACGGACTCCGCGTAGTACAGCCAGGCGCGCGAGTGGCTGCAAGTTTGCAGCAGACAGTTGGGCTGCTGCGACCCACCGTTGGGATAGTAGTCTACGTGACCTGGACAAACAACCTTATAAGTATTTATTTTTAAAGTGAAAACTTCTTTAGAATCGATGTGACTTGAAACTCAATGAAACGAAAAAGAGACACTAAAAGAGACTAACGATATATAATACAGATATTTAATAGGCTTTATCTTGCGAGAGAATGAGATAGAATACAGTATACAGTATGTCCTATTATCTAAAATATAATATAATATATAAAGTAGTGACCGACCGAAGATTCGGTTTCGGATTCGGCAAGTTTCGGCAAAAAATCTAGTTTCGGTAATAGTTTCAGTTTCGGCAAAAAATCTGCCGAACCTTCGGCGGCGCCGAAATTTAGTGTTCGTGGATTATCGTGCGTCGTTCGGATGAGTTCGTGATTCGTGTATTATTCATAATTATGCAGAAACAGAAACTTTTTATTCAATATAGATTATAAATAATAATTATTAAAAGTCACTCTTTTGTTTAATTACCACTGGTTCGAAAGAAAACCTCTGTCCTTGGAAGAACCAGCAACAAACCAGCGGGACTTTTTTTTAATAACAGCTCACAATTAAAGCGTGGGCGAAGTCGCATCAGCGAGGCCCTTTTTCTTTCGTTCCCAAGATATACCCAATACATACCTACTCATAGCTATTAATTCCTGACAAGTCTCGTATTCCGTCAATCGTGACGGTCGCGATCTTTGAAGGTAGTTACATATTCAAACAATAAAATAAGTTCTCAATTAAATTATATAATACTTAATTTTATTTACAATATTAAAAACTATGATAATAAAAAAAAACTAAAACTAGAAACTTAATTATCATATAGTCCTACTCCCCGCGGTATCGTGCCAAGAACGCTGGCTGCGTTTCCCCGCTGAATGGCTATACTTAGCCTTTGAGCGAGGAAAGAACTAGCCCTCTTATCACCAGCAGCAACGACCAGCCGCGGATGGAGTTCCTTTAGGAACTTCACCGCACGTGGATCCCACGGACCGATAGTCTCTACAGCAAATGGCACAAATATGTAGTCATCTCTCAGAGACTCATATTTGCGCCACTTACTCAGTTCAGCTGCCTCTGATGCCGCCCCGGCTTTAAACGAGGTACCCCTGAGATGAGAGGCCGCCAGAGTGTCTACGCAAGTAGCATCCCACACTAGGGTTTTACCTCTCTCCCAAGGGACCAATGTCAAACCGTCGGGTCTCTTGCCATCGTCTCTAAATATTCCACAAGGCTCTAAAACCGAGGGAACACTTATAGAGGCAAGAGCCCTTCGGATGACATCGTTCAAAGAACTGTGTCGTGAAAACCTACCAGCGCTTTTCTTACATAAAAGTCCGTGGAGCCCAAACTTGTCGACGCTGCTACCACAGGGGCACTGATGTGGTTGACAAATCGCCGCTCCTAGTCGGATTCCTACGGCAATACGCAAGCTTTCCCTATCAAGTAATGTGCCGAGATTACTTGATGGTAAAGCGTGTAACCAGTGACTAGATTCCTTAGTCGAAACAGCTAGAAGGCGTGCCTTATCTTGGTCACTATGGAAATTATGAAACAAATCCTTCTGCACGCCCTGTACCAACGCAATATCCCACTGTTTTTGTTGGTTAACTTCCAGTGGAATATTTTCACCAGGACAGAGCGTTTGCCATGTCTGCCCTGCCTCCGTAGCAAAGCATAGGTCTACTTTATTATTTAAAATTATGTTACATAAGTCACTGACACTATGCACGGAAGCAAGGAAAGCAGGCAATGCAACGCTAGAAAGATTTCTCATACCAATGCCACCAAATTTTATAGGTAAAGTAGCTTGAGTCCAGGCTGTTGTATTTAAAGTTAATTCAAAAAAACTAAAACTTTCTATGGGTTTGAGTGTTGATTTTTTTTATAAAAAGTCAACGTCAAATTGTTGATTTTTACTTTAAAATAAATATATCTATTGCTACATGACTATTAAAATGACTGTTTTTTATTAACATGCATTGCCTATCTATCATATATTATCTGTATATGAATAAAAAATATACCCGCTTTCAGTATACAATAAAAAAATTAACATATATACATATAATAAAAATGTAAATAGCAGATGTCTGTACATTTTATATTTTTGTAATAAAAGTGATTGAGAGGTACTAAAAATAAGTAATTAAATACATTTCTACCATTTTTAGATTTTTCTGTCTGTCTGTCTGTCTGTTTGTTTGTTAACGTATCACGTATAAAGTACTAATTTATATCATAAGAATAGTTAAGGAAATTATTAAGTGTATATTCAGGTTACATTTAGTCTTTATTTCATTAAAATTGGTTAATTCCATCAAAAGTTATGACAAATATTCTGAAGTATGGGTACTAAGTATAGGTACGAATTTGTTCAATAGTGGCGTTGGATGAGTCATCAAGTACATTTTAAAATTAATATCATATTATAAATCATAATTAAATGATGTAAAATAATGTTCTATAATGATATAATTATATCTTAAACGCAGTAAACAAAAGTATTACATAAAGAACGTAATAAATATATACCATTTATATTTACCTTATTATCTAAACTAAATTAAAGTACAATAGTTAACCAATTTCATCGATAGATGGTGGTGTGACTCAAATGTGATACAAAAAGACAGGTTAAAATTTTTTCATATTTGCTTCTAACCTTTATATTAACGACACGCTGCCCTACTGCGTGTTGACAATCTCATTTATTTTTTATTTTTTTACCGCCGAGTACTCTATGTGGTAAATTAAATTTTAAGAGCTATTAACAATTTCGTTTTTCGGCGAGGATCAAACTTTCTTTTTTGCTTACTATGCAGGCACTGATTTATAAGTTATTTTATGTTTTTAATTGTATCAATCGTGTCAACTAATCTCTTATTTTTAGAATTGATGTTAACAGCGCCATCTCTCTTTAAATCTATACATATAATAAAAATGGTAATAACATGTTGTGTTTGTTTCTGAATATTATATAGTATATTAATTTGTGACTAAAATCATTATGGGGACTGTAAATCATTAAATAAGTACATTTTTAGAATTTTTTGAATTGTACTATCTGACGGTCTGTCTGTTTGTTTCTGGACGCATGACGTTTTGAGTAAACATCTTTTTTTCAATGAAATCCTTAAGAAAATCATAAAGCGTATTATCAAGTTCATTTATTCTTTGTTTTATTGAAATTGGTTAATTCTATTGAAAGTTATGATTATTATTTTTAAATGTAGATTCGAATGTGATTAATGGCGCCACAAAATCACAGAAATAGTAATAAAAAGATCCGTGTGTAAAAAAAAACGTTCTATTATAATATATTTCGTATCGTTCTATTATAGTACTTAAAACACAGTAAAAAATATGTTTTCCTTAAATTAAAAAAGGATGTTTTCTCACAAGAACGTAATAGACGGCGTTGTACAAATTACAACCTTTTCTGAAATGCGGAGATAAGATTTTTCGCAGGTGAATCGTATTGAGACTCACTGAAATAATTTATGACAACGAGTCTGACGAAGTTGCAAGCCTGTAAGATATATATACAGTAATCTATGCCTGCCTGTAAGAGCCGTGTAGGCATATCACAAAAATCATCAGAAACAAAAACCAGAAAAAAGAGATATTGAAATATTCAATTCAATTATTCAACAAAACTCGACTAAAAGTAGCAAAATTGCAATAAATGTTGTGATAGTGATATTGTTTTATACCCAGAATCCCTCTAATACCAAATAACTTTCCTTTCAGTTTTAAGTAAAGTAAAGTAAAGTAAAGTTGCAGCCTATTTACGTCCCACTGCTGGGCACAGGCCTACTCTCATTTCTGAGAGGGTTTTAGAGCAAGGAAATGTCCACCGCGCTGCCCCAATACGTGTTGGCGAACTTCACATGTCATCGAAATATTTTTTTTATTTCTCAGACATGCAGGTTTCCACACGATGTTTTCCTTCACCGCCGAACACGTGGTAAATCAGCACTTAAAATTGCAATTAACAATTTCATTGGTGCCGGCGGGGATCGAACCCGGGTTGCTCGAGTACTGTGAAGCTTACAGCGAGCGCTAACCATCTGAGCTACCACGGCTCAGGCTTCAGTTTTAAGATAGGAATAATAACATCGATGATGACATCGATGTTCGTTGTTTAGGCTACTCAAAACATCGATGTTGACCATTATCGATGGTTTTTGTATGTGTAGATACTTATACATTGTTTCAAAATTATGTGGGTATACACAGCAAGGGAAAAGTAACAATTAACTTGAATATCAATTTACGTAGAATAGTTATTATGCGACAACCGACAACGACATTACAAAATAAAGCGAAAGCAGTGACCATTGTGACATTACAGGAGACACTTGACAATTAAGTTTGACTCACCATACTGACATTTTTTTAGGTTAACGATGCGTTCAGAAATTCTAAATTATTCAAAATTTTTAATCTTCAGAGCAGATGCAAGATTTAGTTGATATTGATTTCGCGAGTTCGCATTGTTTGCAAGTTCCCAATTATCGATTATTTGACATATGTCAACAGCGATGTTAAAACATCGAAGTTTTAATTTTTAACATCGATGATCATCTAACATCCCTATTTTAAGTGTGTTTCCCACTCAGCGTGTGTTATGCGACGATCGTAAATAAAGCGCAAGGTCAAACTTGCGTTGCAGGAGTGGACCTCAGTACTGATTGTTTTGCACATGGCCAACTCTATGTTGCTTTTTCCCGCGTTAGTAGTCCCCGTAACCTTTTTCTGTACGCCCCGGCTAAGTCTACTTCTATCGTCGTTTACACAGAAGCTCTATCATAAACGACTTAGAACTTTGAGCATATCGATTTATTTTGTTACCACTTATTGATACAGTAATGATATAAATCGTTTAATATTCTCTTACCCTAAACGTCAAATTCTTTAAGTGAAACCTATATTCGCGAGCTACGCCGCGGGCACAGCTAGTGTCTAAATAAGATTCGGTTTCGGTTTCGGCCGAAACTGACACCCAGACCGAAGGTTCGTTTTCGGTTTCGGTTTCGGTTGAAAATCGTGTTTCGGTCGGACACTAATATAAAGTACTATATATAATTTTTAAACTTGCTAATAATTTAGTAAATAACCCTACAATTATCCAACTCATGATACTCTGTATTCGTCCCGTTCTCTCGAAGTTTAGTATTCTGAAGGTTTCACTTCTACTGCAAGTGCATGTGTGCGTAACACATGTTTTGTTTTTAAATTTATTTAACACTTTTTTTGTACTAAAGGTACAAACGGCGTACATTTTCTATCAACCAACCGGAAAGTTAGTTTGAGAAGTGTGTACTGCAGCGCGCTAGGGTGAAAAATCCGAGAATTTCTGCAACATCAGGAGACTTCATTCAAACTTTAGCGCCGTCCACTACCATCTAGAAACGACGAAGCCGGCCTTGCTCTTTCTAATCGAGACCCAGGTGTCCTCTCCGTATCTTAGATTTAAGATACTTCGTATCTCTCCTACCCTGGGTACAAATTGGAACACACATTTGTGCCTCAGGCTGGAGTTTGCGTGTACGTTAGAGAGGACATCTATTTTCGACGCCTCGGCAGCCTTGAAGGTACGGACCTGTCCATCCTATGGCTGCGTGTAGACAGCAACGTACATCCCCATGTCTACGGGTGCCTCTATAGGTCCCATAGCGGTAATGCCGACACAGACCGACTCATCGACCACGTGAAAATAGCTGCAGACACCGTACTACAACAGGTCCCATTCGCAGAGATCGTGATGCTTGGTGATTTTAACGCCCACCACACCGAATGGCTTAGTTCTCGTTTAACCGATCATGCGGGTAGATCTGTTTATGACTTTGCTTTGGCATATGGTCTGACATAACTCGTTACCTCGCCTACGCGGATCCTAGATGTGGAAGATCATGTACCTTCCCTATTGGACCTTCTGCTGACCTCTCATCCGGATGGATATCAAGTCTACGTTGATGCCCCTCTTGGCTCCTCGGACCATTATCTGATTCAGAGTACCATGCTCCCATCGCAGTTGCGTTCTGCAGGTTGCCGCCGCGTTTGGCATTACAGCCGATTAGGACGGGATGCGATCTTTTTTTTGCATTCTACCCTTGGGAGCGTGTTTGCTTCTCGCCGGATGATCCCAGCATTGTTCCTCATTCTGTCGCTAATGTGGTGCTACAGGGAATGGAACTTTTTATTCCAACATCTGTGATACCTACCAGAGGCAGAACCCAGTCATGGTTTGTTCGCTCCTGCAAAATTGCATTAGGCCATAACCAAAATTGCTACCATGCCGGGGCTTACGCATCGACGTATCGGGATGCAAATACCAGCGCTCTTAAAAAGAAGTATAATTCCGCCTCTCGGTCCTTCAAAAGTGTCATTGTCAAGGTGAAGTCAGAGCACATCGGCAGAATTGGCGAGAAACTAATTCGTCTTCCTTCGGGAACACGTGCATTCTGGTCTCTCGCCAAGGCTGTCTAAGGGAACTTCTGTAAGCCATCTCTCCCATCTCTGCACAGGGAGGATAACTCACAGGCCCATACCGCAAAGGATAAACCTGATCTGCTGTGCTCTCTCTTTGAGTCCGACTTGACTCATAACCACGGGGGAACACACCGGCGACCATCCCGCAGTGAGAGTGATCCATGCATGATGTGCTGTTTACCCAACGCCCCGGGCGCAGAGCACTCCTCTTCCTGGACGTCAACAAGTCGAGTGGGCCTGATGGCGTCCCTCCTATTGTGCTGAAGACGTGTGCTCCGGAGTTGGCACCGGTTTTAACGCGTTTTTTCGGTCCTACTTCCTAGGCGTAGTTCCGAAATCATGGAAGATAGCTTTCGTGCACCCGATCCCTAAAAAAGGTAACCGCTCTGATCCGTTCAATTATAGGCCTATCGCTATCACCTCCTTGTTCTCTAAAATAATGGAGTCCATTATTAAGTGCCAGCTCATGCAGTACCTTGAGGATCATTAGCTGATTAATGACCGTCAGTATGGTTTCCGTCGCGGTCGTTCGGCTGGTGATCTTCTGGGTTACCTAACTCATAAATGGACGGATGCAATAGAGTCCAAGGGGGAGACGTTAGCTGTTAGTTTTTTTTTAATAGGATAAGGGTGACAACGAGCACATAGTCTACCTGATGGTAAGTGGTTGCTGTGGCCCATAGACATCTACATCAATCTTCGATTAAGAATCAAAATGCAGATGCCTTGTCACCCGTGAGGACTAAGATGGAATGCCTCGTTTCCAGTAAAAAGGGTCTCCGGTTCTCTACACTCACCATACGAAGCACAGCAGCGTTAAGCTACTATTTTACGCTGGTATTCTGTGAGAGCGTGGTCCTTCCGCGGTCGAGACGACCCATTCGTGCTACAACTATAATATAGCTGTAGCATGGCTCTACCACGTATAATAGTTTGGACGAAGGCCTTCGATCGGGTTTGGCACAAAGCTCTTCTTACGAAGCTTCCTTCCTATGGGCTTCCCCAAAAATTGTGCAAATGGATCACCAGTTTTCTTGCAGATCGGAGCATCAAGGTCGTAGTAGATGATGCATGCCCCGATTAGAAGCCAATTAACGCTGATGTTCCACAAGGCTGCGTGCTATCGCCGACGTTATTTCCTCTGCGTATCAATGACATGTTGCAAACCGGTAACATTCATTGTTATGCGGATGACAGCACTGGTGATGCTTTATACACTGGCCGTGCCAATATATCTCGGGAAAACGTCGTCGACTCGTCGAGTACCGGGATAAACTTGGGTCTGAAGTCGAGACTTTGTTGAACAAAGTCTCAGACTGGGGGCGACTAAATCCAGTCCAAATCACTTCCCAGAAGACAAGTTTGCGCGTTTACGGCTAAAAAGAACCCCTTCGTCGTATCTCCTCAGTTTCTAGACACTCCCTTTGCTGCCTCAGCCAGTATCGGAATCCTCGCCGTCGACATATCGAGTGACGTGCAGTTTCGTGTTTACTTGGAAGAGAAGGCCAAATCGGCCTCTAAAAAGCTTGGCGTGCTTAGCAGAGCGGGACAGTATTTCATGCCGGCACACCACCTGCTACTTTACAAGGCGCAGGTTCGGCCGCACATGGAACTTGATCGCATCCAGCGCAGAGCTGTTCGAATCGTCGGCGATCGAACTCTTTCCGATCGTCTTGACTCACTGGCACTGCGAAGAGATGTTGCATCTCATTGCGTATTTTATCGCATTTCCCACGAGGAGTGCTCTGAGGAGTTGTTTGTACTAATTCCAGCCGCACAATTTCACCATCGCACATCGCGACAGAACTTACGATACCATCCATACCATCTGAATGACTGGCGGTCCACCATTGTGCGATTTAAAAGAAGTTTTCTTCCTCGCACAACTTCCTTGTGGAATCGACTTTCACCAGAGATTTTGCCGGACCGATACGACTTAGGGGCCTTAAAGAAAAGAGCGTACTCCTTTTAAAAGGCCGGCAACTCATCTGCAATTCCCCTAGTGTTGCAGTTGTTCATGGGCGGCGGTAATCACTTACCATCAGGTGAACCGTACGCTCGTTTGCCCCTCTCTTATAAAAAAAAAAACGAAACATAATATTGATAAAGTACATAAAAAAGTACTAATGATACTGAAGAATAATATTGAAGGAAAATTGGGTGCTCTGGGCTTATAAGAAATGACTCACCTATAGGATCCCTCAGCCCATAAACTCCACTGTCCGTGTGGATAACGTCTACAAAATCAGCGTCCGTGTTCTTGAGCCTCAGCTCTGGTGCCACGTGGCTGAAGCACGGGCCGGCGGGGTCCAGCGCTGATATCCGGCCCAACCGTCGGCCCGTCAGGCGCGCCAAAGTCTTGCCCGCGAACCCGGAGATGTGCGAGCCCAGGCTGTGCCCGATCATGTGGATCTTTGACGGTTCTGTGCCTTCTGGTGATTTGAAATGCATTTCAATCAATCAATCAATCAATTCTGTATTGTACACCAATGCACATTAAAACGAAAACAAAATAAAATAAATTATATAGATGGTACAATAGGCGGTCGTATCGCTCTGGAAGCGATTTCTTCCAGACAACAAACAACCTTTTTGCGCAAAAAACTGTTTTTTACAACGAATAGTGAAACAAGTATATATAAATTATACAATTGTATTTAAGAAAAAAAAACACAAGATGATGACAATGGAGGATAGATATGATAAATACAAGTAAGAACGAGAAGTATCATGGGAAATATAAAACCTTACTTGTGTTCGTATTAATAACGAGAAGGAAAACCGGATGCATGCGGATTTGCTGTTATTTAGTAATTTCGTGTAGTGGCGGTGTAAGAATATCCACACACTGCTACAACATAAAATAAGTAACCTAACATTAGAAGTTACACCCCCCCACCCCCCACCCCCCTTTATACACACATTATAATTTTTTCCTTCTGTATCGTGAAGGCAGTTTACATGTTGTTCCGTGCGGGATTCGATCCTGCAGCCCTCAGCGCTAAACTCAATGCTAACCGATTGCACTACAGAGCTGTCATATCCACTATCGCACTCCCTATACACATTTCTGATATTTTAAGTGAGTACTAAATTAATGTTTGCTCATTGAGTATCTAAATAAATAAAAAAAAATGAATAAAATAGAAGTAGTTTTATTTAAAAGTCTACAATGTGTTACACTGTTTTTAAGCTAATGTTTGCGTTGTGATTTGTGTATTATTTAGATTTATGGATTATTAGTTTAATGTTCTTTCCTCGCTCAAAGGCTAAGTATAGCCATTCAGCGGGGAAACGCAGCCAGCGTTCTTGGCACGATACCGCGGGGAGTAGGACTATATGATAATTAAGTTTCTAGTTTTAGTTTTTTTTATTATCATAGTTTTTAACATTGTAGATAAAATTAAGTATTATGTAAAATTGTAAATAAAGTTTAAAATATAAAATTTTAATGTTTATAGCTGCTCAAGTAATGCTGCGAAGTACTTTTTTAGTATCTAATATATTGAACTATAATCACAGAATGAATAAATACTACTATGTTAAATGATTTTTCTATACATGAGTGATTATTATATCATTATCTGCTGTTGATAACACAACTTTTTATATATACTAGCTGACCAGGCAGACGTTGTTCTGCCCTTTCCGACGACCATTTGCTTTCCTAAAAAAAAAAACTCCTGAAATTAGCAATAAAAAAATTGATGGTCACTTATCGGGATAAAAACTATCCTATCTCTTAAGTTGGACCAAACTGCATACAGTGTGCAAAATTTCATTGAAATAAGTTCAGTAGTTTAGGAGTTCATCGCGGACAAACAATGTGACACGTAATTTTTATATATAAGTAATGATATATTGCTAGTTCCTATTCGCATTTATTTATTTATTTTGTACTTAAGTGCATTGCTTTTTATCAAAACGATTTATTTTTCATTGTAAGTGTATCATTAAGTCTAAGTTATAAGCTTACCTATACATAATGTTTTTTCTAAGTTTCCAGTATCTCTTGAAATGGCCAAATAAATATCTCTTTCTTTCTCTTCTTTCTTTTTATTTTACGCTGGTATTCTGTAAACGCGTGGTCTTACTGCAGTCGAGCTAACACATTCATGCTACAACCATAACATAGCTGTGGTATGGTAACGTGAGTAAAACTATTTTTTTTATAGGATCGGGTGACAAACGAGCACACAGTCCACCTGATGGTATGTGGTTACTGTGACCCATAGACATCTACATCTATCCTCAATAAAGACTCAAGATGCAGATGCGTTGTCACCCGTGAGGACTAAGATGGAATGCCTCTTTGCCAGTAAAAAGGGTCTCCGGTTCTCTACACTCACCATACGAAACACAGCAGCGTTAAGCTGCTATTTTACGCTGGTTTTTTGTGAGAGCGTGGTCCTTCCCCGGTCGAGCCGACCCATTCGTGCTACAACCATAATATAGCTGCAGCATGGCTCTACCACGTAGAAAAAACTATGACGTCATGTCACTGTATTCTCATACAATTTTTATAGAAATGTTTGCTGATGTCACTTTTAACAATTTCCGCACGCAAACCAACCGATCTGCATTCATTATTATCTACGGAAACCACAGATGACTCAATAACATCATTGCTTCGTCTCAAGTATTTAATGATCTCAATCAATAAGCGTATAATGTAGTTTTACTTATTTTTTGTCCTTCTGTAGTTTTATCCTTATTGTCAGCTTGTAAATAATACTGCATTTATATTATGGTTGTAGCACGAATGGGTCAACTCGACAGGGGTGGCACCATGCTCACACAGATTTCCAGAGTAAAATAGCAGCTCAATGCTGCTATGTTTCGTATGTTGAGTGTTTAGATCCGTAGACCATTTTTACTGGAAATGAGGCATTGTATCTTGCATCTGCACTTTGATTCTTAATCGAGTATAAATGTAGATGTTTATGGGCCACGGTGTCCACTTACCATCAGAATGGCTGTATGCTCGCATGTCACCTTTAATCTATAAAAAAATTAAAAAAAAAACTGCGGTTGCAGGTTGTTTACCAAGCGAGATCAATTTGGCAATATCCCCACTAAGAGGAAATCTTTAGGAGAGACCTATGTTCAGCAGTGGACTTTTATAGGCTGTAATGAATGGATGGTGGCTCATTTAGTATCGTGGGGTCTTGCAAGAGTTGCCTATAGAAAATGCCAAAAAAATGACCTTCTGAATGGTGGCGATATAATCGTTATAGTTACAGCCTATCAAAAGTCGACAGCAACATAGGCCTCTCCCATGGATTATCTCATTGGTAGATATTTGCCATAGTTGCCACGCTTAGTGGGCAGAATGGCAACAGGAGTTTTTTAAATTCTTAGTTGTTATTACGAAGGTACCACGTAGTGGCGGTGTAAGAATATCCACTACCTCATATCATCCCGTGTGAGTCGTAAGAGGCGACTGACAAAGTGGTAAGTTTCATTTTTATAATGTCTGCTATTTCTAAACTTTTTTATACATACTAAAGCCATGCTACAGCGAAATTAGTAATATAGTTGTAGCAAGTCGGCTCAACCGGGGAAGGACCACACTCTCATGAAATATCAGCGTAAAATAGCAGATTAAGCTTAACACTGCTGTGTTTCGTATGGTGAGTGTAGAGAACCATCTTAGTCCTCACTGGTGACAACGCATCTGCATTTTGATTCTTCTAGATGTCTATGGGTCACAGCAAACACTTACCATCAGGTGGACTGTGTGCTCGTTTGTCATCCTATCCCATAAAAAAAAAACTAAATTATCAGGCAAACCTTCTATAGTCCCTAACCGATTACCTAAAATCATCTTTAGGTATAAAATCAGCGATGGGGGAGTAGGGTAAAATTATAGACAGAAACCTCCAGTGCGTTTCCTAATCTATGATGAAATTTGAGCATTACGAAAAATTTAAAAAAATCTTTAATTGGTATAACAATGTTTACAATGACTTTCAAATGGGAAGTAAATAATTACTATAAGCCTGTTCGTGAAGTGGCTTCCATAAAGTCACGAATAGGTAATATTATCGTTAGATAAGTAATAAAACAGGAAGTCTAAGGTCACAATAGAGGTCAGGATACAATTCCTGTACTACCATAAACGTATTTGCGGCAGCAACAACCATGAAAAGTATCATGCTTATATGTACACGTAATAAATTCAGTCTGAATCTACTCTAACAATCTACGATAACTACACGAACAAACTATTGCGATTTCTTAAAAAAGCGGTGCGTTCATTGTTGTAAAAATATTTTTAAATTCGTAGGTTAATGCTACAATAAAAACCTTTTTTTTAAGCATCACTTACTTTTAACCAAACGTGCGAGCACCTCTCCTAGTTTCCTGCCCATGAATCTTACGTATGTGGTGGAGCGAAGGTATAGCCAGCGGATTAGCGAACTGCCATCCAGAGCTATCACACTAACCTCACCTGCAAACAAATTGATTATCACTACAGGTGAACTTTACAAATAAAGAGAATTCGGTATTACACAAATATATTGTCAATATTTTATACATGGTAGAGCCATGCTGCTGCTATATGACTGCAGCATGAACGGTTCGGCTCGACCGGGGAAGAACCAAGTATTTTTATTTATACAGTACTACGGAAAAGGCGTCATCACTACAGGCTTGAGTGTTTGTGTTGTTGTTGAGAAGGGCCACACCCTAACAGAATACCAGCGTAAAATAGCAGGTTAAATCTGACGTCGTTCGTATGTAGAGTATAGAGTTCCGGAGACCCATTTTACTAGAAACGAGGCACTCCTTCTTAGTACTAAGAGGTGATAACGCATCTACATTTTGACTCGCAAACGAGGATAAATGTAGATGTCTATAGGCCACAGCATCCACTTATTATCAGGTACTATCTATGTTACTATCTCTAAAAAGATATATGTAATAAGCGAACATATTTTTTGGACCATATATATGGATTCTCCCTAGACCAGCTAGTTTTTTTTTAAAGGAGTGGGGGGCAATTGATTATGCGGGGGTATTGCATGTGCGTTGCCGGCCTACAAAAAAGAGTTGGCTCTTTTATTGAAGATCTCATTACCAATTGTAGCCGATGCTACAAAAAAGTACAACCGTAACACAGCTGCAACGTCACGCTGTCACGTATCTGATACGTCACGTCTATGATATAATAGTTGAATATTTGTGACATTTTTGTCACAACTGTTGAACCATCCTTAAATAAAACCTGTTAGGCTGCGTTTATATGGTTTCCACCAAAGATGTGTGAGGTAGCTAGGTAGTGTGAGGATGCGTAACGAGACTGTGGAACGGTGTGAGCGAAACGCAGCCTTATTCACGTAAATACTTACGAGTGATTCATAATTGATACCTATTATTATGTGATGTGCGACGTATTCAATACGTAGGTACCAACTACCAAGCGGATGAGCATATGAACTGCAAAAACTTCAGATATTAATTAGATACATCTACGAGGAAAACCGACTGTATTCATTATATAATGTTATTACTGTTAATTAAATTCATTACACATTAAAATAAAGACAACATCCGCAAATTGCGTAAATCGAAACAAACGAAGTATTTATTTACTTTACTATTTTTGTATTAGAAATGTGCTCATTAATTTATTATTTTTAAAAAGTTATAGTTAAGTATTATTATTAATTTGAAAAAGTTAGGGGAAACGAGCCAAAAATTGCATCCTATTTAACCATGACAATGCTTCTAAAAAGGTGTAGCTTGTGATCCATCCCACATACATTCTAGACCTCGCAACATGCGAGTTCTAGAACGTATGTTAATCTTCTTTTTTTCCCCAAAAATAATTTTTTTTTATAGAATAACAGTGACAAACGAGCACACAGTTCTACGTTTATACTCAATTAAGAATCAAAATGCAGATGCGTGGTCACCCCTGAGGAATAAGATGGAATGCATCATTTTCAATAAAAAGGGTCTCCGGTTCTCTACTGGTGAGTGTACGAAACACTTATTAGCTAATGCTATAACAGTTCAATAGCTATAGCTGCTATATTACGCTGGTATTCTGTGAGAGTGTGATCCCCAGTCGAGCCGACCCATTCGTGCTACAACCATAATATAGCTGCAGCGTGGCTCTACCTGCTGTGAGACGTATATAGGCTGATGTTAATGTTATTATATTTACTAAATTATTTAAGACCCCTAAAGTAAATTCACCTTTCATTAAGAAGGCCTCGCTGATGTTCTGAAAGCTGTTCTTGGTGGGGTCGTCGGTGAAGCCGTGTACGAACATGATGAGCTTGTGGCTGGGCTCAAAGTTGCGCGCCTCGCTGATGAACTCGGCCGCCTCGCTAATGTTGTATGTAAGGTTGCTGGCCCTGATATATTGAGAATAATAAATAAATACTTTACTATTTTGGGTGATTTTAATAAATTAATAAATCAATCAATTTTTTAAATAAAATAAGGTTGACAAATGAGCACACAATCCACTTGAGGGAAGGGGATGCTGTGCCTATAGACATCTACATTTATCCTCAATTAAAAATCAAAATGCGGATGCTTTGTCGCCCCTGAGGACTAAGATGGAATGCCTCGTTTCCAGTAAAAAGGATCTCCGGTTCTCTACACTCACCATACGGAACACAGCAGCGTTAAGCTGCTATTTTACGCTGGTATTCTGTAAAAGCGTGATCCTTCCGCGGTCGACCCCACCCATTCATGTTACAACTGTAATACGGCCGCTGCGTGTTTCAACTATAATATCTAACTCTTCTCCTGCCGTAGTGTGAACATTTCTAAGATCTTTGGTCTTTGCAGGGCAGCTACATTGGATTGTGATCCTTCTTTGTCTCTATAATATAATGTAACTGTAATATAGGGCTACCAGGTTTAATATATTCTTTACGGTACACCAATGCATATTAAAATGAAAACAAAATGAAATAAATTTTGTAGAAGGTACAACAGGCGGTTATCACTCCAGAAGCGATTTCTTCCAGACACCATTTTTGAGCAAAGAACTGTTGTTTACAACGAATGGCAATTAGGGGAAATGTACTTAAATTATAAAAGAAAAAAATAAATCTATAAAAAGCTTTTGACAGTACTTATGACCTGAATAAGTATGTACAATGTATATATTATATTTTAATATATGTACACTTTATTTATATATTATGTTTCGCACCTGCCTACAATTGTCTTTGGCACCCAGGTTTGACTGGCAGAGAATGCCATATGGCATTAAGTCCGCCCTATCTACCCTTTACTTTAAGGTGTTACATTTAAGTTTATAAATAAATAAATTTATTGAAGGGAAAAAAGGACTGAGCTCGTCGTATATTATGTGAGAGAGTTCATTATTACCACCCATGCATCGTTCAACAAACTAAGTATATAAGTTTTACAACCCCAATTGTTAAAAAATTAAAGACCAAAGTGTTTTTAAATGGTGAAGAATTGACCCTCATCGATTCTGCTATTTTCTTGGTATTACTCTGGACGCAAAACTTCAGTAGGGCCCATATAAGTAAACTCGCAAGCAGACCAAACTCTGCAGGTTATGTTGTAAAATGATTAGAAGTCTTACTAATGTTGAGAAAGCTATATGCGTTTATTTCAGTTATTTTGATAGCATAATGTCGTATGGGATTTTGCGATGGGGAAATGCGGCTGATTTAGAAACTATTTTTGTTTTGCAGAGGAGAAAATGTACGGAAATAATAATATATTAACATTGGCCTCTGAATATTTTTACGATAATTTAATGTATGATTACAAAAACAAAAGTAGTTTAAAAAAAGTGATATACATTGTATAAACACCAGGAACAAACAAAAGCTAACTTAAGTGATACCAGCCGATTCCACAGAGTCAGTAATTCATTCAATGTAAGTAGGTATATGCTCAGTGTAAACGGTTCCATTTAAAAGTATGGTGAGCCATATTAATTTATATCTCGAGATGTAATATATATTATATTATATCGCATAGTGAAAAGCGGGCTTTATACCGGCGTATAAAGTGTATTTTTTTTAATGATATTGATCTGTGAAACTTACCGAGTTTTAAACAATATTGTGAGTGCATTTAAGTCAGGTTCGCGCACGCCCTCTAGCTGATCGTATGCTACACCAAGTATCTTCTTAACGTCGGTACCTAAAAGCAAATTAAAACATAAATAAAAAAACAGGACAAAGAGAGTCGATATAAGCTTTTTCTTCAGAATTAAGATGACAAATGAGCTATATGCAATGTCACCTGATGGTAAGTGGATTCTGTGACCGATATCTAGATTGTTATTATCTATTAATGTAGCGTTATTTAGATTAAAGATGTATCGTCAAAGCATCAAACATCATTTATTTTATTAATTTTTCTAACACATCTACAAGTTTTTCGAAAATAAGCGGCCAAGTGTGAGTCGGACTCTCCCATGAAGGGTTCCGTAGCAACAAGTAACATATTATAAAAGTTCTTGTAGTTCGTTGTAACTTTGATCGATGTTTTAATTATTATTAAAAATAAAAAATACACTATTGTGTATTAATAAAAAAATACACTATTGTGTATTTTTTATTTTTATATTTGAGTTGATTGAATGAAAGGTAAATTGCGGTTTACGATTTATGACGTAAGAAAAAAAAACTACATACTAGATCTCGTTGAAACCAATTTTCGGTGGAAGTTTACATAGTAATGTACATCATATATTTTTAGTTTTATCATTCTCTTATTTTAGAAGTTACATGGGAGCACACACACATTTTACCACTTTGAAAGTGTCTCTCGCGCAAACTATTATGTTTAGAAAAAAATGATACTAGATACCCCATACGTATGGTTTTGATGAAAAAAAATTTTTGAGTTTCAGTTCTAAGTATGGGGAACCCCCAAAACTTATTGTTTTTTTTTCTATTTTTGTGTGAAAATCTTAATGCGGTTCACAGAATACATCTACTTACCAAGTTTCAACAGCATAGTTCTTATAGTTTCGGAAAAAAGTGGCTGTGACATACGGACGGACATACAGACAGACAGGCGTGACGAATCCATAAGGGTTCCGTTTTTTGCCATTTGGCTACGGAACCCTAAAAAAAGCCTATATCACTACTGACATTACTCTATAACTGTTCGTGAAGTTTCATTACAATCACAGACTAACATCGGTTCAGCCGTTCTACAGATTAGCCCGGACAGAGAGACGTACAGATAAAAAAAAGAAAATGGTTGTTCATGTCTTAATTGCATGCCAATAACACCCTCAGCTCAATGAAAAGCAGTTATATTACAAACTGACACTTCAATTTTATTTATATAATAGTGACCCGCCCCGGCTTGCCCTGGATAGAATCTGTTAATGTTTATTTACCACTTTTATACGTGGTAGAGCCATGCTGCAGCTATATTAGTAGTATAGTTGTAGCACGAATGGGTCGCCTCGACCGGGGAAGGACCGCGCTCTTAAAGAATACCAGCGTAAAATAGCAGCTTAACACTACCGTGTTTCATATGGTGATTGTAGAGAACTGGAAACCCTTTTTACTGGAAAAGAGGCATTCCATCTTAGTCCTCATGGGTGACAACGCATCAGCATTTTAATTTGTAATCGAGGATAGACGTAGATGTCTATGGGTCATAGCCAACAACAACTTACCATCAGGTGAACTGTGTGCTCATTTGTCAACCTATCCTATAAAAAAAAAACATTTATTTTATGAAATTACGTTTATTATCATAAATTATAAACATTATTTTAACGTCGCATATTCTGTTTACTGGTGGACAAAGGCATTCCCGCAGTACCTGCTAAGAATTTTTCGTAATCTTCACGCTTTGTCACAAATTGGGAACAGATTCAGATCAGGCGTTACTTTGCGGAAACCCATTATATTAAATTTGATAAAAATCACCTCGTGTACATCCGCTAGATATTTTCGGGGACGTACGCGAGGTAAAATTTTTGAACGTTCCGGATCAAACGCTTGACAGGGCCTACGACCAAGAAGAAGATGTCCGACCACTGACATTATCGAACGGATCTCACAGATCGCGGAGTACTGAAACTCGAAATGATTCCTTTGTACGATCGACCCGAATGACTCGGTTCGTAAGACGAATCAATACTTGAATGATCGTGTCACTAGAAATCAATGAATGACACATGTCTAGTCTACACCTTTGCCCTTATCCCATCGCTGATTTTATTACAATAAATGGTTTTAGATCATCGGTAAGAGACTACAGATGGCCTTACTGATAATTTAGTTTAGAAATAGTAGACGTTACATTTCAATGTGTAGAAATTTCACTATCCTAAATTGTCCCGCGGGTGTAGTAAGAGGCGACAGAGGTAAATTGAAACAGATGACGGGCAGCAGCGTGTTTTTAATAACAACTAAGAAATAAAGAACTGCGTTTGCCGACCCCCCCACCCCACATCTATATGAAAGGCCTATGTTCAGCAGTGGACTTTTGACAGGCTGTAACCGTAGCTTTAAGAACGTTTACTATTTACGTGATAGATCTATGCTGCAGCTATATTATAGTATATTGGTGAATGGATCGGCTCAACCGGAGAAGTATCACGCTCTTACAGAATACCAACGTAATATAGCTGCTTAATGCTGCTGTTTCGTTTGGTGATTGTAGAGAACCGGAGACCACGCATTTGCATTTTGATATTTAATTTAGGATAAATCTATTTTATAAAAAACTTACATTTCTTGGATCCTATATCAGCTATTGTTTCATCTATGGGCTGCTTGATGGGTGCGATATCTTTCTGGATACCTTCGCCTATAACATCCAAAACGTTGATCTGTTGCTGCTGAGCGGCCTTGATAAGTACAACGTAGCTGATCAGCGTTGTTATGAAGTTGTTCATGTTGAAGACGTTCTAGAAATAAAGAATTTTATACGTGGTAGAACCATAGTCCGACTAGATAAGTCCAACTTCGACCGAGAGGTCAAACGACGGATTCAACTCGGCTGGGTAGCGTTCGAGAAATTACGACACATCTTCTCGTCAGGTATATCTCAAAACTTGAAAGCGAGATTGTACAACCAGTACATGTTGCCAGTGACGACTTATGGATCTGAGACGTGGTCCTTCACTGCTGGTCGTATGAGGAGGCTCAAGATCGCTCAGCGAGCTATGGAGAGGTCTATGCTCGGGGTTTTTTTGCGTTCTAAACTTAGAAATAAGGTTATCCGCAGTAGAACCAGAGTGACCAACATAGTCCAACGGATTAGTAAGCTGAAGTGGCAATGGGCTGGCCATGTAGCTCGAAGAACAGATAATCGCTGGTGAAAAAAGGTTCTCCAATGGCGGCTTCGTACCGGCGAGCGAAGTGTAGGGCGTTCCACTACTAAATGCCACAGCAACCACTTACCATCAATTGGACTATGTGCTCGTTTGTCATCTTTATTCCAATATAATAATGTGCTGTGTGAGGCATATAGTTGTTACAGATAGATAGAAAAAAGAGTACCACCTAATAAAATGTGCTAGCTAAATCACAATCATCATCATCATTACAGTCCTTCACAAGTCCACTGGTGAACAAAGGCCACAAAGCACGGTCCTGTGCCACCTGCATGTCTTTCCAGGTCCTCACTCTATGTAGTAGGGGGGTTGCCCTAAACTTCGCCTACCCGTACAAAGCTGCCACTCGAGCACCTTTTTCCACATCGATTGTCGGTTCTTCGAGCTATATGGTCAGCCCATTGCCACTTCGGCTTACTAATCCGTTGGGCTATGCCAGCCTAATGGATTAGTAAACTGAAGGATAAATATGCTAGCTAAATAAAGTGACTAAATAGTTTAGCCCCAATAATTTTTAGGTTAACATAGTAAAATTTGATTTCCAGGTGTTAGGACTACTTTTCTGCCTAGACGTTCGGTTTTGCAGGGCTTCCCTCCCTCTCACTTACTTCAGCCGCCGAGTAGCAGGGCTTGCAGCTGTGTTTCGATCTGAAAACTATAGAGAGTCAGTAGAACAACAGGCTGCGAGGTATACCATCTTAGTCCTCAGAGATAGCGCACCTGTTCTGTCCGCGGCAAGCTTCAAACAAAGAGGGATTTTTGTTTGAAGTTCACCGCAGCTGTCTATAGACTGCAGCCACTTACCATCAGTTGGACTGTGAGTTCGTTTATCACTTTAGATTTAGAATAAATATCTTAAGTTTTAAACCTAATAACTTGAGTCACAGAAAGCTACTAAGAAAAAAAAGTTATTACCAAAATGTTGTTAATGCCATCGATGACCTGTGAACAAAAACCAATTCTAAGCTTACACTCAAACTGATGGTGATTACTGCAATGCATAAACATCTGCGACCAACAATCTTAGATTTTATTGATCATCCTGTGGGTGCCGTAACAAGCGACAGAGGGATATGGAACTTCTGTTTAAGAAGTATTTTCATGATAACAACTTAACATAAAAACACCTGCCGTTTCCAACCCCAAGAGTGGCAACTTAGGCAAAAATCCCACAGTGAGGCAATCTAAAGGGCAGGCCTAAGTTTATTTTCCTTTTACTTACATTAAAAGTACAATCGTTCAGTTTCAATCAAAGTTCTGTTCTGTTACATTAAAAAATGTAACTTCCTACTTTTTTGAAGACAAGATTGATTTTTTATTCCATGTCATTTAAGAAAACAATATGCCACATCCAAATAAACCGACAAACGTTGGTGCAAATATTCAAACCAAAATCGGTGCAAGTAAACTGTACAAACAAAAATAACGCAAACAAGTGTCCAAACCAGGAAGTGCTGTCAATCATAAAGATTTTCCATTTAAAAGTCACATAAAACGTCCTGATTTCAGTATAACTTAAACTGAAAATTTAAAAAACCCCCGAAACAAAAGAAACTGATGACCTTGAATCATGATGAAACATAATAAATAAAAAATAAAACACTCAATCACCACACATTCAAAGTGACCTTTAAACAAAAAAAAAAACTGAATCTAAATCGGTTTATCCGTTTGGGAGATACGATGCCACAGACACACACATATACACATTAAACGTATAGCGCAACTCTGTTTGGGTCGGGATTAAAAATGGTTAAGGACTTATTAATAACTAAGTAAACTCGGCTTACCATTATAATTGTTTGGATACGTAAGAAATATACATTGTATTGAATAAAACAAATTTTATGGATTTTATCGCGTTTAATTGAACTTATGTCACGCGATAAAATCCATAAAATTAGTTTTATTAAATGTCAAGTATTTGTGTATAATAAGAAAGCATATCATTCATATCTGAACTGGAAACAAAACCATGACAATGTATTCTTCCAGAATTTTCTAACAAATATAAACATAAAGCACTTTGTTTTTTTTTATTGAAATTGCACAATTTGAATGTTTATGTTTTATACAGGCCCTTTATATTTGCTTAGGTTTTAAAGTTTTATCATATTATTTCCAAATAAGGCGAAGTGTAGCGTGACCTCTACTAGATGGAGCGACGATTAGAGATGCAGAAAGTCGATGGATGTTGGCTTAGAACCGTGCTTTACGGTATTTCTTCGGAGAGGCCTATGTTCAGCTGTGGACTTGTGATGGACTATAATGATGATAATAATGATTATGAAGACTCAGTTTTAGATGATGAAGACATTGTTCACAATGAACAATGTGTTTTATATAACATTACTTTTGCGTCAAGGAGCGAGTCAATTTTAAAATATGTAACAACTTTTGTGTGGCTGGTAATTATCGATTAAAATCTTGAAAATATTAATCGCTGATGTCCGGTTATTGTACTGTTTTTGTCTAATCTCAGCCTTATTTATTTAGATGGACCTAAAATTGAACCCTGTGGCACGTTATATATTATACGCCTCGTTTAAAACACCTTCACATCAAAAGATAATTTTAAACCATATATGACAGTAGTTAATATTAACAATGAAATAATATACTGAATTATAAAGCAAAACCAAACACAAGGATCAAAAAGCACACACAACTCACGGAGTTCAATAATGTGGAATTGTTGGCGTCATCTGCGAGGACTTCCATTCTTTCGGCTGAAATTAAGAATTATTTAAAGATGTGTTCTTTAGGCTCCAGCCTTATACTATCCCAGATTTCCCACAATAACGCTTTAGAAACGGGATGTCTAGATTTGAAATAATAAGATTTTTAGTAGCTTAAATAGTCATTTTTTTTGTTTATAGTCGGTTTTCTTCTTTATAGTCGGTCCGTATGTCCACTGCTAAACTATTGCCTAGGTATTGTTTTTAAAAATTGCAAAATCCGTAATAGTTTATTTTATTTACATAGTACTTATACTAAGTTTCAAGACAATCGCCTCATATAATAAAAGTTTCATACAAACTGACATACCATGTGTGTGATGACACTACTGTGCGATTTAGAAGATGTTTTCTTCCTCGCACAACTTCCTTGTGGAATCGATTATCACCAGCGATTTTTCCAGATCGATACGACTCCCTAACCTTTAAGAAAAGAGGCTACTACTTTTTAAAAGACCGGCAACGTATCTGCGATTACCTGGTGTTGCAGTTTTTCGTTCGTGAGCGGCGGTAGTCACTTACGATCAGATGATCCGCATGCTCGTTTGTCCCCTCTCCTATAAAAAACCCTATTTCACCCATTGTAACTTCCAAAATACCTTTTTAGGGGATACCTACGTCATAAAAGGTTTTTTACTATATTTAAACAAGTGGTAAAATAAAAAAAATGTACAACCGACTTCAATATAATTATTAAGGATAACTCAAAAACTACTGATCAGACGTCGATCAAATTTTAGACGCGCACTTTAGAAATCGCAAAACAAAATAATTTGTTCATGCAAATTATTTTGTTTTGCGATCTTTGCGAGATGCGTTGACAGTTTCTGTCACATACAATGTATTCTATGTATTGTAATATGTTTGTATGTTTGTATTAAAGCAGTAACTCTTGTCAGAGAGAACTACTGTTGTAATAAGCTTGCAGTAAAATAGCAACTCTTATCAGAGAGACAACTAAATCCTGAATAACTGTTACAGGTTTATTTTTTCTCCTTTTATGTGCTGGTAATAGAAAATCTAAAAACCTTAAATTTTTATACAAATGTTTTATACAGTTGATATACGATATCTTAGTCTACAGCTCCAATCTACTGTTACGCTTGGTTACCGTTACCACTAAAGCCTATCCAAAGTCTACTCCGGGACAAATACCTCCCCCCATAGATTGGCTCATAGTGGGATTCATGCCAAAACAGCCACTTTTGGCAGGTGGGTTGGCAACTACAATTTTTTATGTTTTAGTTATTGTAATAAAGACGCTTTTTTATAAGATAAGGGTGACAAACGAGCACACAGTCCACCTGATGGTAAGTGGTTGCTGCGGCCCATAGACATCTACATCTATCCTCTATTACAAATCAAAATGCAGATGCGTTGTCACCCGTGAGGACTAAGATGGAATGTCTCATTTCCAGTAAAAAGGGTTTCCGGTTCTCTACACTCACCATACGAAACACAGCAGCGTTAAGCTGCTATTAATCTCCTGTTTTTATCCTTCTCTCGTCTCTTGCGACATAGGTCGGGACCATATGAAGTAGTAAATATTCTTACACCGCACCGCTACACGCGGTTTGTTATGATAATAAGATTAACCGTATAGTGGGTGTGTAAGAGAATACACTACTCATATCATCCCGAAGGTGACATAAAGACGACAGAGGGAAACTGCAAAATACTTTTCTTTAAAAAAAGAGCAAAACATCATTTGTTAGCTCCTTTTAATGTATTTCGATTATACATTATAAATAAAATAGGACCCAGTATGCATACTTGGGGAACTTCTTTCGTTACAAGGCAAGAATTGGACAGAGAATGTGT